GCAGTAGCAGTAGAGGCGGAGGGAAGATGACCACCAAGAGCTGTGTGGGTGGAAGAGAAACAGGCCTGGTGACACTGAGTGAGGAATGGGCTGAGAGAGGGCCCTAAGTTTCTGCCTTTACCAGTTGGATGGTGGGTGGGGCTGCCTGCTGGGATGGGAACCCCAGGGGAAGTTAAGGCTTGCTCTATTTGGGACAAGTTGGACATGATGTTCTTGCAGGTCATCCACGGAGAGAATGTGAGGACAGCTGAGTCTGTAGTTCTGAGCTCATGACCAAGGTCCAATCTAAAGACTGATGAATAGACAGGTGGGAGTGGGTGGGGTGGCCCCAGGTGATATCCTGAAGGACACCAACCAGAAAGGCAACACCCAAAGAGGAAGGAGGAAAACCAGAAGATTTGAAAGCCAGGGGATTTACCCACCTGCTATAATGGAGGTTGCCGATCAGTCAAGACTGAGAGCATCTGTTGGACTCAGTTAAAAGGAATTTACTAGGCAGGGGTCCTTCTGAGTTATGGTGGGGGCAGCCAGAAGCTGTATCACAGGAGGGAATGAGAGGTGAAGCCACAGAGAAAGCTGGAGCAGAGGACTCCTGATTACCTTGTGACCAGAAAGAAAGAGTGAGGTTCAGGGTGGAGAGTTGGATTGTTGCTGCTTGCCAGGTTGGAATGCAGTGGCCTGATCTCGGCTTATTGCTCCTTTTATCTCCCAAGTGATTTTCCTGCCTCAGCCTCCCAAATAGCTGGGATTCCAGGCATGCGCCACCACACCCAGCTAATTTATATATTTTTAGTAGAGACAGGGTTTCACCATGTTGGCCAGGCTGGTCTTGGACTTCTGGCCTCAAATGATCCGCCCACCTCAGCCTCCCAAAGTGTTGGGATTACAGGCATAAGACCCCAAGACTGGCTTTTTTTTTTTTTTTTTTTTTTTTGAGAGTCTCCCTCTGTCGCCCAGGATGGAGTGCATTGGTGTCGGTGCTCACTACAACTTCCGCCTCCCGGATTCAAGTGATTCTATTGCCTCAGCCCCCTGAGTAGCTGAGATTACACAGGCACACACCACCATGCCCAGCTAATTTTTGTATTTTTAGTAGAGATGGGGGTTTCACCATGTTGGCCAGGCTGGCTTGACTTCCTGACCTCTAGCAATCCACCCACCCCAGCCTCCCAAAGTGTTGAGATTACAGGTGTAAGCCACCACACCCAGCCAGAGTTGGCTTTTTAAGGTTGAACATTGGTGGGAAGAAGCCATCAGGAGCAGATCTAGCCCTTGGGCAGAGGATGGGGCTGGGTTCTTAGAGAGTGGTGGAGGCTGTCTATTCCAGGTTGTCTATTTCAGGAAGAGAAAGCTGGCAGCTGAGCTGGGCAAGGACTTAGCCCTCCATCCCAGGCTACCTCTGCCCACCTGGATCCTAGAGCAATCCCTTAACCAAGGCCTCCTTGAGGAACCTTCCCAAGTTGTCCCCATCCCTGCCAGTCCAATATGACCTGCAGCAGCACAGGCCTGATCATTTCTACCTGCAGGAGGCTATTCTGGGGACCAGGGAATTCAGAACTGCACCTGGGTCTGGGCTCAGGTCCATTAGCCCCCAGGGGAGATGGGCTGAAGTGCTTGCCTGTGAAACTAAAGCAGACTAGGTTGGCCACCTGTTCTGTATCCCAGTGGATGGATGGGCAAGGAAGGACAGATAAAAGAATCCTGGACTGGCTGGCCACGGTGGCTCGCGCCTGTAATCCCAACACTTTGGGAGGCCAAGGAGGTCGGATGATGAGGTCAGGAGTTCAAGATCAGCATGGTCAACATGGTGAAACCTTGTCTCTAGTAAATATACAAAAATTAGCCAGGCGTGGTAGTGGGTGCCTGTAATCCCAGCTACTCAGGACGCTGTGGCAGGAGAATCGCTTGAATCCGGGAGGTGGAGGTTGCAGTGAGCTGAAATAGCGTCACTGCACTCCATCCTGGGCAGCAGAGCGGAACTCCATCTCGGAAAAAAAAAAAAAAAAAAAGGATCCTAGACTGAATTTCAGAAGACCTGGGGGCAGAGCTTTCTGGCCTTTGGATCCTGGGCAAGTCACTTAACTCCGCAGGAGCCCTCAGTGTCCCCATCTGGGCATGAATGAGAGCTGCTGGCAGGGTTGTCCTGAGGACTGGGTGGGCTGCCTTGTTTGTCCCGTGCGTGTGTTTACTGGAGGTCGGAAGCATGGCAGAGCCAGAAGTGAGAAGGCAGCCATATGTCTCAAGGGGCAGCGTATGCACCCTGCCTGATGGAATCAGGGCTGCTGAGGAGGCCTGCAGGACAGGCCTGGGATGGTGGCCAGGTTCATGCGCATTTGGAACCGGCCCACTCGCTCGGGGGCTCCCTGCAGCCTAGGCTCCGCCCCACTCCGGAGAGGCAGGATAGGGAGTGGAACGTTGTGGGGAGCTAACCAGAGGAGTTGATGTTTCTTCCCAACCCCCGGAAAGGCGGTTTTGGGGTGTAAGCACCCAGAATAGGCCTTCCCAGAGGAACTGACTATGAGGAGGCTCCCTCTCAGGGATTAGTCCCCACTCGGAGGTCGGAGTGCTTCTGGCGCCGGGGCGGAGCTGAGCTCTAGAGGTCCGGGCGCGCACAGCTGGAGGGTCACGTGGCACGGCCCTGGTCCCCCCTTCCTGCCAACGCTGCATCTGGCTTGGGCCGGTCCCTGGCGGCCCCGGGGACCCTGCGCTGAGTCCCGGAGGCCAGGGCGTCCGGGGCTGCGCCACTTCCGAGGGCCAAGCGTGAGTGTCAGGACCCCAGGGCCCGACGTTGAGGGGATGGCAGGGGTGGAAGGGATTCGGCCTCAGCGTGGGGGAGGCGGGAGGTTAGGGGCCGAGGCTCCCTGTCTCCCAGCCCGGCCCTGGGCCGCAGTCCTGAGCCGGAGCTGAGGCTGGAGGAAGTTGGCTACATGGGGGAACTTCTTGTCCCTTCAGGCTGCCCGTCCCGTCCGGGTGGAGGAGAAAGACGCCAGGGGCTCCACCGCCGGTTGTTGGAGCCCCCCCCGGGGCGTGGCCTCCCGCCCCCTTGTCTGGGAAGGGCGGGGCTCGCTGCCCGCTGTAGCCGACTGCGACCCTTCCGGGGAGGGAGGGCACTGGCAGCGCTGAAATGAGGAGGCTGCGACTACGCAGGGACGCTTCACTCACACTGCTTCTCGGCGCCTCCCTGGGTCTCTTACTTTATGCGCAGCGCGACGGCGTGGCCCCGACGACTAGCGCGCCTCGGGCGCCAGGGAGGGCGGCACCGAAGCCCACTCCCAGGTTCCGCACGTTCCAGTTACCCGATGCGGGTGCAGCCCTGCCGGCCTACGAAGGGGACACGCCGGCGCCGCCCACGCCCACGGGACCCTTTGACTTTGCCCGCTATTTGCGCGCCAAGGACCAGCGACATTTTCCCCTGCTCATTAACCAGCCGCACAAATGCCGTGGCGACGGCGCTCCCGGTGGCCACCCGGACCTGCTCATTGCTGTCAAGTCGGTGGCAGCGGACTTCGAGCGGCGCCAAGCCGTGCGCCAGACGTGGGGCGCGGAGGGCCGGGTGCATGGGGCGCTGGTGCGCCGCGTGTTCTTGCTGGGTGTGCCCAGGAGCTTAGGCTCAGACCGGGCCGACGGAGGAGAGGTCGGGGGCGCGCAAACCCACTGGAGTGCCCTGCTGCAGGCTGAGAGTCGTGCATATGCGGACATCCTGCTCTGGGCCTTCGACGACACCTTTTTTAACCTAACGCTCAAGGAGATCCACTTTCTAGCCTGGGCCTCAGCTTTCTGCCCCGACGTGCGTTTCGTTTTTAAGGGCGACGCGGATGTGTTCGTGAACATAGGGAACCTCCTGGAGTTCCTGGCGTCGCGGGATCCAGCGCAAGACCTGCTTGCTGGTGACGTGATTGTGCAGGCGCGGCCCATCCGCATGCGGGCCAGCAAGTACTACATCCCCGAGGCCGTGTACGGCCTGCCTGCCTATCCTGCCTACGCGGGCGGTGGTGGCTTTGTGCTTTCCGGAGCCACGCTGCACCGCCTGGCTGGCGCCTGTGCTCAGGTCGAGCTCTTCCCCATCGACGACGTCTTTCTGGGCATGTGTCTGCAACGCCTGCAGCTCACGCCAGAGCCTCATCCTGCTTTCCGCACCTTTGGTATCTCCCAGCCTTCAGCCGCGCCTCATCTGAGCACCTTCGATCCCTGCTTTTACCGCGAGCTGGTTGTAGTGCACGGGCTCTCGGCTGCTGACATCTGGCTTATGTGGCGCCTGCTGCACGGGCCACATGGGCCAGCCTGTGCACATCCACAGCCTGTCGCTGCAGGCCCTTTCCAGTGGGACTCCTAGCTCCCCACTACAGCCCCAAGCTCCTTACTTGGATCCAGGACGGAGCGGGAGGAAGCTTGAAGGAGTTTCCCAAGCAGATCACCAGGTGCCTGTCTCCACAGGATCTCCACCGGGTTGAAACCCATGTAATGGTGACCCTTTGAGCTAGCCAAGGCTGGGTGGTAGAGAACCATCTCTTGTCTAACAGGCCTCAGAGAAGTAGACATGTCTGGTCCTCCTAGTAGCACACACGTGTGTTCAAGTGGGGTGCCAGGGACTCATGGAATCCCTACCACACCTGGGTTTGGAACCCCTAAGGCTGACACGGACACATGCAGGAGGCACAGGCCCCACAGGAAGATGAAGGGGCCCGGGCCACCACAGCCTTCATGAACCTGGCAGGCACTCTGCCACAGCTCTATTTGAAAACAGACATTGTGCTTCACACATTCTCTCCTGGGTCCAGGTGTGGCCAAGCACCAGGGATGGAGCCACACATAAGGGACAAATGAGTGCACGGTCCTACCTAGTCTTTCCCCAGCTCCTGAACCCACACAATGCCAGTCTCCCACTGGAGGCTGTATTCCCTCAGAGGAGCCAAGGAACGTCTTCCCCCGAGACGCCACACCTATTCATTTCCCCATATTCAACCACTCCCTTGCTCAAAAAACCAATACCCACACTTAGCTTAGTACAAACATCCCAGCAACAGCACATGGCAGGCCATTGCTGACGGCGTAGGTGCTTTATTGGAGAAGGGATGTGGGCAGGGGATGAGGAAGGTTACCCCATTCCAGGAGAATGGGAAGAGTCCTGGCTGCCCCTGACAGTGGGATATGCAAGGGGCTCTGCCGAGGCCACAGTCCAGATGGGAAGACACCAGTCAGTCACAAAGTCACGGGAGCGCCACACAAGCCTGGCTGTAGGCCCAGGAACCATATAGGGGCCTGAGGCAGGTCCCCTGCACATTCATCATTAAACTATACAGGATGAGGCTGTACATGAGTTAATTACAAAAGAGTCGTATTTACAAAAATCTGTACACACATTTGAAAAACTCACAAAATTGTCATCTATGTATCACAAGTTGCTAGACCAAAATATTAAAAATGGGATAAAATTATACATTTCTCTTCTCAATTCTTTTCAAAAGGATTAATATTTTTAAAGCACATATATGCTACTTTCCATTAGCGAGACCCATGAAGGGACTGAGCAGCCAAGCCTTCCTTGAGCCCCCAAAGGCTTTGAGCCATGGCCCAGCCAGGGGCTACTGCCCAGGGTTGAGGCAGGGAGCCAGCCCACAGTGCAGAACAAAATGCTGAAACAACAAAAGTAGGAAGATGTCTTTGGCTAAAACTTTGGCATTAAATAAAAGAGGCAAACAGGATGGAAACACGCAGCCCTGCCAGCCAGGTTGGGGCAGAGCAGGGACATAGGCAATCTTGAAAGCTGACTCCATGAGGGGTGAGAACCAGGCCTGGGCAAGTTCCTGGATGGTAGAAAGCTGTGTTTCAACCAGTTTGGTGTGCCCAGGCAGGGAGCATGTGCAAAAAAGGAACAGGGAAGGGCAGGTGGGCCACCCTGGCCACAGCCAGCTCATCAAGTAACTAAAGTGGATGTAGTGCAAATGTCGCAACCAAGTACTACAGACACGCTACCTGCTTGCCGTAAGGGTCACGTGGCAATGTGGGGCCAATGGCAGAAGCTTGTTCTTATCCTCAGTGCCTATGCCCTCAGTCACAGAAAAAGCCCCAAGTCTTCCCAATGTGCATGCGACAAGGGTTGATGTGTCCTGCCTCCTTGCATGTTAGTTGAGAGCTCCTGGGTCCAGGAATCAAGGCTCAAAGTTTGTGCTTCTCTTTGCAGTCGGTATCCCCTGCTGACATCAGTAGGCTGAGGACGGACAGAGGAATATCTGGGCCGCTCAGCCCATGGCAGAGCACCCAGCCTGAGCCCAACTTCAGAATATCACAGCAGCCCTTCAACACTGGCCAGGTGTCCAAGAAAACCCACAGGGTGGTACAGAGGCCCACTGGGCAGGATGTGATGCACAGTTACACGGGACAGAGGGGCACGGGGGTGATGTCCCTAGGGGAGCTCCGATGTTCTCAGGTGGGTACCAGGCCTAGGGGGGCCATACAGGGTCACCGAGGCAATGTGGTTGTTCTGCATGACCTGGTGTGAGAAGAGGACAGTGGGTCAAGGGGTAGAGGTAGAGGGATGTAGACTGATCCTGTGCAAGAGGGCTGGAGGTTGTGTGACAAACCTGCACGTAAAGGCTAGGCTTCCCAACTCCTCAGCCTCCCCTGGTTCATGCTAAGGGCCCCTCTGCCTAAGATCTGCCTGTTTATCAATGGTTGATACACAGCCTTTACCACGGCCATTTGTCCAGTCCTTCTGGAACTGCTAAGTGTCTCCTGGAGATACTGGCATCCACAGGGAAAACAAGGGCAGTTCCTTCTTCTCCAAAGTCACTGCGGCCTCCAGAGCCATTCACTACCCTACAATGCATTCACATGCCACTGGAGGGCCCTCAACACCCTCAGCTGGGCCCCACTTGCCCTCTGGTTCCCCCTTCCCTTCTATACTCATGTTTTCAGATAGGAACTTGGGATCCATTACTTCTCATCTTGTTGGATACAGACTACTGCTTTGGCCTCTGTGACCCAGATTTCTCATCATTTCTGAACCCTCACTGCTAAGTGTGAGGAAGACAGGTATGCAGCAGACAGGATTGCTGGAGAAGGATGAATCTGCCCAACAGGGAAGTTAGGCCCTCTCCAATTTCCCTCCACCATTCACCTGGCCCTGCCATGACCAGCAACCCCCCAAGCAGTTTAGTTCTAGGGCCTCCATGGCTTACCTCAAAGATCATTCGCTGAAGACCAAAGCAGAATGTGGAGCCAAATGGGTTGGTGTTGTTTGGGGAGGAAGACCTGAGGCCAGAGATTCAGAATTAGAGGGGCAGACAGAGGCCACAGCCTTGAAGCAAGGCATCAAGTGTTCTCTGGGGTGTGGGCTACTGGCCAATAGCCTCTCATGGCTGTGAGAGTATGTCTGTTTCCCACATAGGCCTGCAAGGTCCTCAGGGTAGGGATGGCCCCACTCAACTCAGAATCCTACATAGCCCAACAGGGCACAGAAAGTTACTGTGGAACTGGAGTAGGGTGGTGGGGAGCCAAAAGGGCCCTCGAGTGAGAATCTCAGGCAGCATGGCAACCAGGAATGGAGCTGTGGACTTCAGCAGGCAGCAATTCCTCCTTCCTTCTGAATAACTAACAGTTAGAAGGCCCCCATATCTGAAGACAGGGTGGGGAGAGGAGAGCTACCCCTGGGGACAGCCTCTCTACCAAAGGTGAACACGCAGAACAGTTGGCTCAGTCCTAATGTGCAAGGTGGGGCAGGAAGTATGCTTGTGGCAACACTAGAAACTTACGTAATTTTTTTTTTTTTTTTTTTTGAAACAGAGTCTCGCTCTATCACCCAGGCTGGAGTGCAGTGGTGCAATCTCGTCTCACTGCAACCTCCACCTCCTAGGTTTAAGCAATTCTCCGACTCCACTTCCCGAATAACTGGGATTACAGGCGCCACCACACTCGGCTAATTTTTGTATTTTTAGTAGAGACAGAGTTTCACCATGTTTGCCAGGCTGGTCTTGAACTCATGACCTTGTGATTCACCCACCTTGGTCTCCCAAAGTGCTGGGATTACATGCGTATGCCACCATGCCCGGCCCAACTTCTGTAATTTTTAAGAAACATCTACTCTGTCAGGCTTCCCTGGGCTTTCTAGGCTCTAAGGAGTCTGCTGGGGTGGCCAGGCACATCAAACTCCCACTCACCTGTGCAGGACAACAGGCTTCTCCACAGGGTGACCCAGGAGCTCCTGGATGTTGTCCCACTGCAAGAGGGATAGAGGGGAGCAGGGGTTAGTAGGGACATGAACATGTCTGTGACCAATGGCTGGTCCAGAAGACATGGCCACAGACTGCCCACAGGCTATGTCCACCTAATTCTCAGGGTGTATCAGGTAAGAAGATAGGTGCTTACCTTACTGTAGGTTGTGCATGTTTCTGTCTGACCATCTGCGTTTTCTGAAAGGAAAAGACAGTAGGGCAGGCTGGTAGCTGGGCAGCCTACCTGCAGTCCCAGCCCTAGGTAGGATCCAGACCTGGTGACCCTTTAAACTGGGGCTAGAGTACATGGGGAGGATTAATAGGCTGTTCTGGAGTTCCAGGGTAGAAGAGGATGGAGAGGTGAAGGGAGGCCAGTCAGGTGTGAGCTATACCAACTGGCAGCAGGTGGCAGGCACCAAAGATGGGCTGGGGACTGCTGGATGATTATCTGTAGATAAAAAACTCTCCCCTCCAGAGGCCAGCAATCCACAGTCCTAGGAAAAGGCCTCAGAGGCCTCTAGGAGACTCAGACCAAGAACACTGCAGCCCCACAACAATAAGCCCATCCCAGAGGAACTGAGGCCATGGGCAGAGGCTCCACATACTCAACTATTGCTTGGATCTTTCTCCCTTCTCATAGTGGAAAACAGACTCTAAAGCCCCTCCCTTACCCTGAGAGCTTTCACTACTCACCTTTCTTTATGGCTAATGGGATCTTGAACTCACAGCGATGATAACTAGAGAGAAGACAGATGGGTAAAGGCTGGGCCTCCTAGGAAGCCTGACTACTCCCATATTCCAACCCCACACCCCAGGAGAAACAGAACCAAACACACCTGCCCAAAGCCTTGGCTCTGAGCCCCTGACAGTGTTCACTGGGGGAGGCCAGATTTATGCACGAAGTAGAAGAGAAAAGATCCTGGCCCTGGGGTCTGGAGAGCTATCACCTTGGATAAGCTTTCTGAACCGATTTTCCTAATTATAAAATGGGTTCAAACAGAAAGATGTAAGGCATTGGACACTGTGCCGGAACACAGCAAGCACTCAGGAAATTTACTTCCCAAGAAACAGCAAGCATTCAGGTGTTGATAAATTAAGCCACAAGCTCTTTCCTGGGGTTTTCAGCCCAAAGCTCACTTTATAGCAGGGAAGGTACAAGTGTACTCACATGTTGAAATTGTAATGCCCAGGGTAATTGGTGTGTAGAACGAACTTCTTCACTTTGTGTGTATTCGCATCAAAGAGGATGTCCTGGGATAGAAAACAAGGGTACTCAAGGAGGGAATGTTATTGAGGCACGGCAGAGGTCTTCCAAGGGCATGTCCAACTTGGGACACCCAATCCACTCCACAGTGAGGATGCCTGCAGACATCACCTTTCTTCCAGACAACAGTTCAGGGGACAACTAACGACAACCAGCTTTTATACATTTTCAGTGAAGGGGGGACCCAACAATCTACAGAACCAACAGGCACAGGGGTTGCAGCTACCAGTTTTTGGGAACAAAAACATTGTAAGGGAGAATTTTCCTGCTAATGGCACCTAATAAAAAATGTAACTGAGAGCAGATTTTGGCTCTAAGGCTATCAAGAAGATTCAGAGTCACCTGATTTGTTTTTTTTTTTTGAGACAGAGTCTCACTCTGTCACCCAGGCTGGAGTTCAGTGGCGTGATCTTGGCTCACTGCAATCTCTACCTCCGGGGTTCAAACAATTCTCCTGCCTCAGCCTCCTGAGTAGCTGGGATTACAGGCACACACCACGCCTGGTTAATTTTTGTAATTTTAGTAGAGAGAGGATTTCACCATATTGGTCAGGCTGGTCTTGAACTCCTGACCTCAGGGGATCCACCCACCTCAGCCTCCCAAAGTGCTGGGATTACAGGCGTGACCCACTGCACCCAGCCAAGTCATCTGATTCTTGGGGGCTCAAGGTCACCTGACTATTCTGAATTCCACGATCTGTCAGACACTCCTGGCTTCCATTACACCCTCTGTGGGAGTTGGCAACCCCTGCCTGTCCTCTCTCTAGGTCTTAGACCTGGATTTCATGCCACTCAGTGAACACTTCCCTCCTATCCCCTACCCTTCCCAGCTTCATATCCAGGTAGCTGCTTAGGCCTGTGACCTCAGGGTCACCTCTGACTCTACCCCTGTACCCATAGCCAACTAAGTCCAACTAAGGACAGTCCATTCTCTCAATCTTCCCTGTCACCTACTGATAGCAGCAATGCCGCATCTGTAGTAGTTGCTGTGAGGACTCCAGTTGGAGCAGGGAAAAGGGCCTCCATTTTCCCATAAAACTATGCAGAGCCTGTGGAAGCTGGAAATAGGTGAGAGCCCTGCCCTCTACTGAGTTGGCAGGGCAGGAGCCCATGCTCCTGGGTGTAGCTGCAGCTTCCCAGCCACAGCTTAGACTCTGGCATCCCTGCATACTTGGGAGTCCAGGAGGCCCCTTGCCCCAGCAGGCTTGATAAGTGCCTGCTCTCACTGCCTAGCCTCTCCCCACTCCCAGTGCCTGCTCTGGGGAGGAGCAAAGTTGTGGCTGAGCCCAGGCACTGTTGCAACCTGGCTGGGAGTAGGTGTACTCAGGGTGACACTGACATACCAGCCCCCTGCTGCCTCGGCATGAACAGCACCATGGATGGCATGTTGATGGTGGCTCCTGGTGGAAAGGGGTGGGTCCCAGATGAAACTTCACCTTCAAGCCAGGGATAGCCTGAGGCCTGGGGGCCAGGCTGCCAGCTCTGGGTTGAGTTTGTGGTCTGAGTGAGAAATTATGGTGCTGTTTCCGGGCCTGCCCATGGACCAATCAGCATGCATTTCCTCCTTTCTAAGCCCATAAAAACTCAGGACTCAGCTGGACTTGGACAGACATCAAGACTACTAGCTGTGGGAAGCAGCTACACACTTTAGGTCTCCTCAATTCCTCAGGATGACCTGCCTACAGAAAGGAGCTACCCACTATGGGTCTCCTATGAACTGTTCTGTTGCTCAATAAAGCTCCTCTCCTTCTTGTTCACCCTCCAGCTGTCCACATACCTCATTCTTCCTGGACGTGGAACAAGAACTTGGGACTCACCAAATGGTGGGACTGAAAGAGCTATAACACAAACAGGGCTGAAATGCCCTGCCCCGCTTTCCACATTGTGAGCAACAAGGAGAGAAGAGCTGTAGCCCTTCGGGGAGTCCAGAACTAGAGGATCCCTGAACCAGAGCTGTGACACGGTGTTTGGGGCTCTGTGGTTCCTGGTGTCTCCAAGCTTCTGGGCACCACCGCATTCTCCCTGTCCAGACGTGGGTGCCCACAATGGAAGCCACTTGTGGTATATCTGATCCAGCCTCAGGCCTTACATGGAGCCGGCATCTATGATGGCATCTGAAGCTGCCCATCCCCCTACAGCGTGTCTGGCTGTGCACAGTGGCCAGACACCACACTCACTCACTCACACACCTCTTGCTGCTCTGCACCTGGCTTGCCCTTGGCAGGCATGGAATCCAGGCTAATAGCATATGCTAAATGCAGCCTGCCAGGCTGAATGGGAGGAATGAGCCCAGTGGGCTCAAGCAAAAACTCGGGCAAAGGTGCCAACTGCCACAGAAGTTTCCAGCTGGAAAAGCAACACCCTAAGGTTCTTGAGATACTATCATCACTAGCCCTTGAACCAGAGGTCCAGCTGCAACAGCACTGTTCCCTCTTGCCACCATCCTACTCTCAGGAGTTCATGATCCTACAGCAGCTCCCCTACTTCTCTTGGCTCCTGTGTTTGGTCTTTCCCACATGGGTAGACTCAGTCTCTCCTCTCTCCCTCTCTGAAATCTATTCTTTGCTGCCTCAGGACCTCAGACCCTGGCTCAAAGGTTACAAGACCCATGGTCCAAGCCAGCCCTACCCTCTGAGATGTTTCCTGTTGAAACATTGTTTACACAGTCATTTCTCATGCCTGCATGTCACCCACCAGCTGGACTGTATGCACTAGACAGCTACCAGCTACATCCAGCTCCATAGGTCTAGAGCATAGGGTAACAGCAATGTCTCTGAGGTGGTCCTCTAAAAATATACAAGCATACCCCATTGTCTCTAAGCCTTTTCAGTCTCCATTTTGTTACTCAAGAGGGTCCTATACTTTACAAGAGGACAGTTCCCCAAACAGCTTAACCTAAATGATTTCCAAGGCCTCCATCTGTGGAACATGTTTCCCTCAGAAAAGAAGTCAACATGTACCAGGGAACCTACTGTTCCTCAGCAATCCTGGTTGCAGGAAAGGTCTACTTTGGTACCAGAGTTTACGCAAAACAACCCTAGGCAAAGCCACCTGGGGCTAGGCTCCCCAATGCCCAGGCATGGTTCCAGCTACATGTGAACAAACAAATGTGCAAAGGTGCACTGCCCATCTCAATAGAAATGAAAGGCTTTTCTGAGGAATCACAACTTACCACTCCAAGAGTGAAATAGTTAAAAAAGTAGTCATTGCACTTCGATGGAACTTGTTTATGAGGGGAAGGAGAATGAATTTTCATCTGTAGGGAAAAAATAACCATAAATTAAAATCCATCCCTCTAATATAGTTCTGGATTAACTGAAAGTCTACAAATTGTGTTCCTTGTGTAACATTAAGCTGTGGTGCAAGCAAGAGTGTGGGGAGTCTCAGCTGCTGGTGCTGACCAGTCTAGGAGGAGAGGTGGCCAGCTGTTGTTGACTACGGACTGGGCCTTGGTCTCCAAGGAAAGGTAAGGACTATGGAGAGGGACAGAGTCAGGGTAATTGGACTACAGTAGTTAGAAAATAGTTTTCAATTTACTTTACCATTAGCTTTAATTAGAACAAATTCTATGGGAAAATAGCAAACAGTTTATATATACTCAATATTTAATTGGTGTTGATTGAAAAAAAGGAGAAAGACTGCCTACTCTATATAACACACTTCCCCTACCTTGTCTTCTGATTTATAGAAGACTTTGTGCGGAGAGCCAAGCATGCTGAGAACATCTTGGCAGGAATCACCAAAATACACTGAACGTTCAAATACCCGCATCTTGGCATCTGCTAATAGACCAGGTCCACAACCTGCAGAAAACAAGAGCGAGAGGTCATCAGATTATGGTTAGGACCAGAGACCCTAAACTTCTGGGGGTCCCAGAGAAGATACTGGCTGCATGGTACATTATTAGGTCTGGCGAGGGCCAAGACTGCATGTAAGCAGAAATATCATGTCACCAGGGCTTAAGACTGTATAGGAGATCATTATCTATTCAAAATAATGCCAGGGACTCATTCAATGCCCCACATGTGTGTGACATGGAGCTCTGGAGACTTCATTCACTTACTCACCAACTGTTTTATTGCCTACCATGGGCTAGGACATTGTGCTACATGTTGAAGAAATAAAAGTGAACAAAAGCAGTGCAGTTTCTGGCCAGACGTGGTGGCTCATGTCTGTAATTCCAGCACTTTTGGAGGCCAAGGTGGACAGATTGCTTGAGCTCAGAGTTTGACACTAGCCTGGGCAACATGGTGATAACTCATCTCTACAAAAACATGCAAAAATTAGCTGGGCCTGGTGGTGGGTGCCTGTAGTCCCAGCTACTTGAGAGACTGAGGTAGGAGGATCACTTGAGCCCCCGAGGCAGAGACTGCAGTGAGCTAAGATCATACCACTGCATTCCAGCCTGGGTGGAGTGAGACACTATCTCAAAAAAAAAAGGTACAAAAGTACTTAGTGGTAACCCCTAACCAGAGACTGAACCTGTAAGACCGCTCTATCAACAAGTAGAGTGAAACATGCATTAACTCCCTAATTCCAAACAAAAACTTGACACAGCCCTCCAACCCAGACCAGAGCCATTAACACTCAAAAGGGACAAACCAGCGAAGTGGAGGAATAAAAGACCTTCTGATTTGCCAAAAGTTTATTCTTTGGGAAGAATCTTTAAGCTCTGACTTTTTCTAATACATTTCAGAAGTGGTTCCAGTTAATGACACATACACAAACACATAAATGTAGAAGTGGTTGTTGAAAAGTAAAAGATACACTAATAGTAAAAATTTCCCTATTTTGTGGAGGGGGAGACAAGATGTTTTGCCCCCACCTCCCAGCAAAAAAAGGATTCCAAGAATCTGAGGACTGTAATTCCTAGTGCCATGATAATCACTGACACCACCTTACTCAACACAAAGCTTTACAGTTGTTGAAGTTCTTGCATGTGTAACAATCCATTTGCTATATGCAGAAGCTTCAGAGAATCCAAATCTGAAATAACTAGATACTGAGTTCTTCAACTTACCCAAGAATCTCTATTCTCAGCAAATATAAATATACATCAAGGGGCAAATAAAGGCTTACACAAGCCTGGGTGACCTATAGAACCCACAAAAAGTCCTGTCAAACTGGACTGTGGGCCCAAAGTATCCAATGGCCTAATATATTTCTTTGGGTGCCAGATATGTGTGATATCAGATGGCGGCTGCAGGGAAGGAACCCTTCATAGGTGAATCTTCTCTTTTGTCTCCCTCTGCTTAAAGTATATCCAGGTAGAATTACCCACAGTTTCAGGCTACTTTTTAGTTTGTGATTCCCCAGTGTGTGTCTTTCCACAAATTATTATTGTGGGGACCAAGACAGCTGAACTGACTCCCTGCATTAGAAGTATCACTGCCATACTTCATAAGGAAGCAGATATAAGAAATGAGGGGGTCGAGACATTTGTGCTTGCCACAGGAAACTCTCAATGAAGGGCGATAACTCTGTGAGGCCCTGACTTAACAAAGCGTTTGCCCTGCTGACAGTGTAAGCAGTGAGCAGTGTGACTACTGGGAATGTGCTGTACAGGTGGCAGACAGAATTGGCTGAAAGCCCATTTTCAACAGGCTCCTCTTGTTGTTGCCTGGGATGATTAATGGCCCTGATCCTTGACCACCCTGCTGTTTCAAGCAGTGATCTTGGGAAAAAAAAACACACTAAATCACTTGACCTTGCTGCCACATCTCAATTCTCTCAAAAACCATAGCTGAGGTTGGACATGGTGGCTCACACCTGTAACCCTAGCACTTTGGGAGGCTGAGGCAGGAGGACCACTTGAGATCAGGAGTTTAAGACCAGCGTGGTTAATATGGTGAAACCCTATATCTACTAAAAATACTGAAATTAGCCTAGTGTGGTGACACACGTCTGTCATCCCAGCTACTTGGGAGGCTGAGATATGAGAATAGCTTGAACGCAGGAGGTAGAGGTTGCAGTAAGCCAAGATCCCGCCACTGCACTCTAGCCTGGACAACACAGCAAGACTCTTGTCTCAAAAACAAAACAAAACAAACAAGAAAAAAAAAAACATAGCTCAAGTGTGACATTCTTTTAAGCAGTTGTTCTGTCTAGACTAGAAAATCACATCTTAAGAAATTTCTGAATGGGCATGGAGGCTCATGCCTGCAATCCCAGCACTTTGGGAGGCCAAGCCTGGTGGATCACCTAAGGTCAGGAGTTTGAGACCAGCCTGACCAATATGGTGAAACCCTGTCTCTACTAAAATTACAAAAATTAGCCAGGTGTGGTGGTGTGCACCTGTAGTAGTCCCAGCTACTTGGGAGGCTGAGGCAGAATTGCTTGAACCAGGGAGGCGGAAGTTGCAGTGAGCCGAGATCACACCACTGCATTCCAGCCTGGGCAACAGAGCCAGACTTTCTCTCAAAAAAAAAAAAAAAAAAAAAAAAAAAAAAAAAAAATTTCTAACCTGGAGATTGTGAACTAATTGTTCACAGAAGTGGGCTCAGAGCTTATATACCAGATTCTTAATAATTAAGAACCATATGGGAGGCTGAGATGGGAGAACCACTCAAGGCTAGGAGTTTTAGACCAGCCTGGGCAATATAGGGAGACCAAGTCTCTACAAAAAAATAGAAGAATTAGCTGGCTGTGGTGGTGTCCCAGCTTCTTTGGAGGATGAGGCAGGAAGATTGCTTGTGCCCAGGAGTTCAAGGCTACACTTAGCTATGATGGTACCACTGCATTCCAGCTTGGGTGACAGAGAGAGACATGTCTCAAAGAAAGAAAAAAGAAGCCAAAAACAAAGAAACAAACAAAAAAAAACAAAAAAAACTAATGCCTCAGAGACTGATGATGCAAGAACCCAATTTACAAATAAATGCTGGTTAGACTATGAGCTCTATGAAGGTTCTCAGCTGTCTTTATGGAAACAAACTCCACACTGAAGATCCCAGTCCCCTTAAGCACAATCCACAACCCAAAGCAGCCAACACTGGCCAGGCATGGGGAAGACAAAACGAGGCATGGATCCCGGAGGTACCAGCTACTGAAGGAGGCAACTCTTTCTTTTTGTTATTGTTGTTCACGGTTAGCAAAACTCTTGGCAAGGTGTGGCCAAACCACAATTCAATAAGTTCCTTCAGCTTGTCTACTTTGAGAACTTGGTATTAAGGGTAGAAAAAGGGGAGCCGGGCACAGTGCCTTCTTGTAGCCTATTCAGGAGGTTAAGGCAGGATTGCTTGAGCCCAGGAGTTCAAGGCCACAGTATTCTGCTACACACCGGCCTGCGCAATATAGGGAGAAAAGCTGGGTATGGCAGCTTTTTTACACACCTGTAATCCCAGAACTTTGGAAAGCCAAGGAGGGAGGATCAATTGAGCCTGGGAGTTCAAGACCATTCTGGGTAATGTAGCAAGACCCGTCTCCACATACACAAAAATGAACTGGGCATGCCAGCACATACCTGTGGTCCTAGCTACTTGGGAGGCTTAGGTAAGATCCCTTGAACCCAGGAGTTTTGAGGCTGCAGTGAGCTATAATTGCACCACTGCACTACAGCCTCAGCAACAGAACAAAACCATCTCTCTCTCTCTCCCTTTTTTTTTTTTTGAGATAGAATTTTGATCTTGTTGCCCAGGCTGGAGAGCAATGGTGCAATCTCAGCTCACTACAACCTCCACCTCTGGGTTCAAGTGATTCTTCAACCTCAGCCTCCTGAGTAGCTGGGATTATAGGCATGAGTGACCAAAACTGGCTAATTTTTTTGTATTCTTAGTAGAGACGGGGTTTCTCCATGCTGGTCAGGCTGGTCTCAAACTCCCAACCTCAGGTGATCTGCCCACCTTGGCCTCCCAAAGTGCTGGGATTACAGGTGTGAGCCACTGCACCTAGAGAGACCATCTCTTTTAGAACAAAATAAAACAAGGTAGAAAAAAGGGGGAGAGAGCTGGCTGGGCATGGTGGCTTATGCCTATAATCTCAGCACTTTTGGGAGGCTGAGGTAGGTGGATCATGAGGTTAGGATTTTGAGACCAGCCTGACCAACATGGAGAAACCCCATCTCTACTAAAAATACAAAAATTAGCCGATGCGGTGGCAACCGCCTATCATCCCAGCTACTCAGGAGGCTGAGGCAGGAGAATCCTTGAACGTGAGAGGTGGAGGCTGCAGTGAACAGCGATTATGCCACTGTACTCCAGTCTGGGTGACAGAGCAAGACACTGTCTCAAAAAAAAAAAGAAAGAAAACCGGGGAGACAGATAGCACTGTAACCCACAGCATGCATCTCCAGAAACACTTGGGAACTGCCACAAAGCTATATAAGCACACAGCAGGCCTATGTGCATGCTGAGAAACAGTGCTGTTGCTTATTAAGATTTGCTAATTATAAGACTATGTCCAGTCCCTTGGCAAAACTAAACAAACGCTTTAACTGTAAACCTCTGCATCATATGTCTTCTACCAACTATGTGGCAATGGACTGAATGCTTTTGTACCCCTAAAATTCGTATGTTATGAAATCCTAACTCCCAAGGTGATGGTATTAGGAGGTCAGGGATTTGAGAGGTGATTACATTACAGAAGCAGAGACCTCAGGATTGAGATTAGTGCCATTACAAAACAGACTCCAGGGAGTTAGCTAGCCCCTTCCACCGTATGAGGACATGTGGAGAAGTGTCTTCTATGAACTAGACTGCAGGCCCTCATCAGATACTGAATCTATCAGTGCCTTGATCTTGGACTTCCCAGCCTCCAGAACTGTAAGAAATAAATTTCTGTTGTTTGGCAGACACTGAGTTTATGTTATTTTGTTACAGCAGCCTGAATGGACTAAGACACACCCTAAGCACATGGGATTTTAGGATGTCTCAACATGGGTATAATGGGGACTCTAATGGCCTCAAAGCCAGTCACTGACCTGCAGTAAGTAGGCGAAGTCGTAAACCTGCAGGTCCAGTTCCATCTCGAAGAACATCTACACTCTCAGCATACACATTGCCCAGGAAACAGCTCAGAGGCATCATGGGAGCCCTGGGGACAGACAAAGAATGAGCAGAGGTTTGGTTCTTTCTCCCAGGCAGCCCAGGACTTAGCATGAAACTCATGCTCCTTATACTTACTTGGTATCCTGTAGGCTGTTGCCACTGTAGATATACATTCGTTTTACAGTTGCTCCATGGGGTATCTGGAGAGAAGCCAGGCCATGGGCAAAATTGGGCTGCAAACATAGGACAAGAGTTTTACTAAGGGCACTACAGGTCATAGGACTCAGGCTCTGGTCTTCCCTGTCACTCATGGTCTTCAAGAGCTGCTCACGTCAAAGGGTCAAAGTACATCCTCAAACCTGGTTCTGGGTCAGTAAACTCCCCAAACCATGTAAGTTCACCTTTAATTCTGCTCGGTTTTCTTTTTCTTTTTTCTTTTTTTTTTTTTTTGAGACAGAGTCTCACTTTGTCACCCAGGCTGGAGTACAGTGGCATGATTTCAGCTCACTGCAACCTCTGCCTCCTGAGTTCAAGTGATTCTCCTGCCTCAGCCTCCCGAGTAGCTGGGACTACAGGCATGTACCACCACACCCGGCTAATTTAAAAAAAATATATTTTTTTTTTTTTAGTAGAGACAGGGTTTTGCCATTTTGGCCAAGCTGGTCTCAAACTCCTGACTTCAAGTGATCCGTCTGCCTCGGCCTCCCAAAGTGCTGGGATTACAGGTGTGAGCCGCTGCACTGGCCAGTTTTCCTTTTCTTCATAGGGGAAAATGCAGAAATGCTTGCTTAATTAAAATAAGCCTTACAAAAGCTTATCATTTTCACAGCCCTAAGGATGAATGAAATGTTTCCTTTGTAAAAACAAAGGTAACTGAAAATCCAGAGGAGGAATCTCCAAATTCTAGGCCACCAGGAAAACTGCAGTGATTAGGAGCTTTAAAATAAGGAATGAATGAATTTATCTCTGAAAGTGAGCCTGACCTCACTCTGTGGTGGGAAGTATCCTTTTCCTGGGAATGCTAGCTTGGGCATTGTTCTTCTTCTGTCAACCCCACCCACTCTACCCCTCCTTGTCCCCTAAAGACCTCAAAGACAGAGAAACCAAAGAAAGACTGCCTATCTAATACCCATTCCTCTGTCCCCATCCCATGACACCATCTGCTGAGCCATACCACACAGACACTGGACAACAAACACTAGGGGACAGGAAGGGCTAACCTCATACTTCGGAGCCTCGGTCCATGAGTCTAATTGAAAAGAGAAAGACAGTCCTCTGAAGTTGAGATGGAAGAGCTGCTCAGCGGAGTTGTACACTGTAGGGGTGGGGGAGAAGAAAATAACATGGTTGACTGGCATCTGAAATGGCTAACATAAACCAGTCTGGCAGGGAGTAATGACTAGCAACATCTTCCTTGTGGCCTGTTTCTGAACTGGCCTACTAGGTTGAAAACAAGGGGGAGGATCTTTCCTTCATACCCAAGAACCAACCACAATCATATGGGAGCCTGACTCTAGGAAGTAGGGTGGGATGGCACTACAGGGCAGGTTTATTGCTCTGAACTGCCGCTGATGACCATAGGAATCAGATGGACTTGGCTTACCTCCAGGATGGGTTGCACCAAAAGACTGGTCAATCTGCTCAATGGTAGGAGCTATGGCCTGAGAATTAAAATGCACGCCACTGAAAAACAAAAATATTTTTTAATACTAGGCTTCAAAAGATGGGCTCACAGACCATGTGAGATGGTAGCTGGGAGAGTTATTTTTAAGATACAGGCAGGTGAGTCTCTAATTATATCAAAATAGAAAGTTTAATTAGAGAACTTTTAAATAAGACAATTAATGAAGTCAGGAGAAGGTCAATTCTCATGAGGCTGATATACAGAGTTGATCCTCTGGGGCTTCAAGACACCAGTGACTCTTAAGGAAAGGGTAGAAGCCAGGTGCAGTGACTCATGCCTGTAATCCCAGGACTTTGGGAAGCCGAGGTGGGCAGATCACGAGGTCAGGAGATCATCCTGGCCAACATGGTGAAACCCCGTCTCTACTAAAAATACAAAAATTAGCCGGGCTTGGCAGCATGCGCCTGTAGACCCAGCTACTCAGGAGGCTGAAGCAGGAGAATCACTGGAACCCTGGAGGCGGAGGCTGCGTGAGCCAAGATCGCGCCATTGCATTCCAGTGACAGAGCGAGACTCCACCTCAAAAAAAAAGGAAGGAAAGGGTAGAGAAGAGAAGCCACCGGACCCTGAGGTATGAAGGCCCCAGCAAAACTAAAAGACAAGTAGAACCTGCAGGGGCCAGTGGTACCACACATTTGCTTGTCTATCAGCAAAACAGCCTGAGCCTGTCTCAGGAATCAATCAGGTCCTCTTGACACCCTCACAAAGGGAAAGGGAAGCCAGTTAAGTTTGGAGACTTACTGAAAGGAGTACTCTGTCGCTTGAACCCAGGAGGTGGAGGTTGCAGTGAGACAAGACAGCGACACTGCACTCCAGCCTGGGCAACAGAGAGAGAAACTCCGTCTCAAAAAAAAAGGAGTATTCTAGATTTCTAAATGCTGGCATGCTGCCCTGCCATAATGGGGGCTCAACAGCTTTGGATTGTGCATGTCATCTCCACTGTAATTCTAAAAAGTACATTACACTCTAAAATGGCAGTCTCTTTGGCATTCTCTTCAGCATAGGCTTTGGAGTCAGAACTATCTGGTTTGTCCCACCTCTATTACCCATGAAAACAGGTGCCAAGAGAGGCCATCAGGCGGAGGGGAGCTACTGTCACATCACCTCTGAGCTGAGGTCTGGCTTTGTTGAGTGGATTAAGTTAGATGACATATATGTGAAGTGTTAATTAAACACATCACATATTCTTAATGAGGTTTACTTCTCTTCTCCAGGAAACTGAGCAGGCTTGCTGGTTGCCTCAGGAAATCATGACACCAGGCTATAATCCCTGGACTGTGGCAGATGTGAATCTTTACTAACTTCATGAATGTAGTAGATACGGCCTGTCTGAACCAAGTGAGACAAATACCAGCAGGGGAGAAAACTTACCAATATTTTAACTTTACTTTAGTCAAATCATACACTTCGATCACCTAAAAAAAAAGTTTAAGAGTTGTCAATGCTCTGAATGTGATAAACTAAAAAAGATTAAAAATATATATTATAGAATAAATAGTTAAAAAAAAAAACCTATTACTAACAGAAATTTTATGGAGGCACTGCATGTTATCTTTTGTTCTCATTTAAAATTTAAAAAAAAAAAGCTTTTTGTAGAGATAGGATCTTAGCAAAATTAAAAGACTAGGTTACCCAGGCTGGTCTCAAATGATCCTCCTGCCTTAGCCTCCCACAGTGCTGGGATTATAAGCATGAGCCACCATACCAGCCCTTTGTTCTCATTTTGAAAACAGAAAAAAAATAAAAATAAAAAAAGAATAAGCTGGGCACGGTGGCTCACGCCTGTAATCCCAGCACTTTGAGAGGCTGAGGTGAGTGGATCACCTGAGGTCAGGAGTTCCAGACCAGCCTGACCAATATGGTGAAACCCCGTCTTTAAAAAATAAATAAAATAGGGAGAAAACACACAGCATAACCTCCCCACTTCCCTCTCCTGGTGGACTGCTCAACAGATGTCTATGGATGCTCTGGGTCAAGGCCCTTATAGGCCAATTCACTTCTGGGTCGGGCTAGAGCACACGCTACTCTACAGGACAATGATCTCTTTCACAGACATGAAGCTTGTTAAAGCTCTGCTTTGGACACTAAGCCCCCTTCCTCCCATCTCATACTTTGCTGCATTTTAAACCCAAGTTGGCTCGCTTTCTTTCTTTTTGTTGTTTGAGATGGACTTTCGCTTTACTTGCCCAGGCTGGAATGCAATGGCGCAATCTCGGCTCACTGTAACCTCCACCTCCCATGTTCAAGTGATTCTCCTACCTCAACCTCCTGAGTAGCTGGGATTACACATGCATGCGCCACCACGCCCAGTTCATTTTGTATTTTTAGTAGAGACGGGGTTTTTCCATGTTGGTCAGGCTGGTATTGAACTCCTGATCTCAGGTGATCCACCTGCTTCAGCCTCCCAAAGAGCTGGGATTACAGGTGTGAGCTACCATGCCTGGTGGGTTGCTTTTGAAAATAGCTTATTTTCAAGTTGATTTTGTTTACAAAACAAAAAGATGGAAGAGGGAGGTCTATCCTGCTAGAAAGCAAGCCATAATATATTAGCTCACACAAGTGTGACAGTATTTAGTTATATCCCTGATGAAGGGGATCTGGTTGTAATGAGAAAATCTCAGAACCTTTGTGGAGGACCTCTTTAATGGATTCAGCCTCATCAAGAACTCAGGGTAGGGCAGAGACAAAAAAAAAAAAGGCATTGCCTAACACTCCACCATTAGTGGTGCCACGTTGTAAGCACTATGAAGTCCACCATGCAATGGTGTCAAGGGCTTGGCAGCCAGCAGCATGGCTGCTGGGGGCTCAGAGCAATATCTACCATCTTCCAGTTGGGAGGTTTGGCTCTCATTGTGAAGACACAAGCAGATCTGGCTCAGTATCTATTTGTCCTGCCAATCTGAACCTGATTGTGGAAGAGGTTGTGGGGCACTGTATGCAGGAACATCTGGCACTGCCACAGAAACTGAGACATAATAGATAGTAGTTCACTTTTGGCTACTGTATCCCGTAACACTGAACCAAATTGGAAATCTCTTGACTATAATGCAGCTCTTTTGATCCTACCTGCTAGAAAGAACTGCTCCCTCTGCCAGGCACTGGAATGAACCCTTTCCTCCATACTTGTGTATTCTGTTAACCAGTCCACTAAGTTAAGCCCCCTTGAGGTCTGACTCATTAGTTTGCATAGGGAAGGTGTTCAATTCATATTAGGCAATTCTGCCTGGTAGGAAGCTAGTTAAAGGCATGCATAAATAAATAAATGAATAAATAGCTTAAAAGCACAAAAAGAAGTACTAGGAGGGGCTGTGGAAAGAAGGGCAGGGAAACAGCTATGATTCAGAAGATAGCCAGTGTCTCCATCAGAATGTCTGGGCATGGCAGTATACCATGCCAAACTGGCATGCCATTTCACTGAGCCCAGAGCCTTGCGCTAGCAGAGGGCCTGCACCTTCAGTCAGAAGCCCTCCTGCTCATAGTAGGTGCAGGCTCACCTCCCTCATTTCTACTCCTACAGTTGACCAATCATCCCCCAAAGCTTCCCACCACCTGCCCTGTGGAAGTGAGCTGGCACAATGTTCCTCCAGTGTCACTGGCACCCCATCTGCCAACAGCCATATGGGTCCAACACATATAGGTGCTTCATCCCTGCCTGATCAATGGGAAAACAGTGGACCAGAGCTGATCACAGGGCACGAGGCAGCACTTTTCACAATGGACCCAGCGTGCTGGCCATTCTGGAGTCCTTCATGTCACTAGGAGCATCAACAAGCAGATTTCATCTCATGGAGCTTGCTGTACCACAGGGACAAGCAGCTGGGATGCCTAAAGCTCATGATATTCCACCACTGGACTGGAGAGGCTCCTAATTTCTCCAGAGGGAAGAGACGTGGCAGCAGCCAAGATAAAAATGAAAAAGACAGGTGGCTGTAAAGGTTATGACTTATAAAGCCTCATTCCACAGGGCTGTCTCTCTCAGGCTTGAGGCAGAGGGTAGGCAGCAACTGCAGGAGGCAGCATCAGAAGAGGTGGATTCTGAAGCTGTCGGAGGGAAGGGCAGGAAGGTAAGTCAGGTCAGGATGGTGCCAACCAAAAGTGTCTGGGTGATCACTTGCTCAGTTTCAGAAGATTCAGGCAGGAGACCAGTCGCTCCTTTATAGGGCTCTCACAGAAGGCAGAAGAGGACTGCCAGGTTCTATTTTATCTCCTTTCCTATCCAAAGGTACTTCCCATTTCTCACATTTCTGTACATTTCTTCAGCTTTTCTCATTTATTTCCCAGACCCATCAACAGAGCCTAAGTGGCCAGCCACCACACACTGCCAACATCAAGTTAAAAGCCTAGCATCAGGTAGACTACTTATCCTCTCTGTCTCTCGGTTGTCTTACTGGTAAATAGTACCTACTCAAAGCCTTGTTAATTAGAGGATTAAATTAGAAAATGCGTATGAAACACCTAGTCATGTGCCTAGCATATACTAAGCACTCACTAAACATATGTCACCTTGCTGTGATTCTATGGGCTGCCTGGCCATCCCTTTTGTTGCCCATTTAAGTTACTTCTAGCTTGTTATTACTATAAAATGCCATTACTTTCTCCCAGTATTTCTGGGTTACGTTTTCTAAAAAGGACTTTTGCCAAGTCAAAGGGAAATTACTACTTGTAAAGGCATTTCCATGTTACCAGATTAATTTCCCCCCAATTTGTGATTATGTCACATTGAAGATCATCCTCTGCCCTTTCCCAGTGTGGAACTTCTGGCCAGGGAGACAGGAGATAGAATGAGGAATTCTAATTCCACATACTGATTTTCTTTCCAAGTTCTGTTTTCTTTCCTTAGCAGTTCACCTGTGACAAGGATGATGAGAACTGGGAAGTACCCAAGTCTTTTGGAAAGGCTACTCCATAACCTAACCAGGACAACAGCTTTGGCATGCCACTGCCCAGGGCCCATTCAATCTCATGACTGGGGCCCATTCAATCTCATGACTTTGAGGCATGAGTCTGGTGTCACATGACTAACCTATGAGGCCCAGGCATTTGTAAACAGGGTGTACATAAAACAGCCTGGACTGAAACAGGTGTTAGCAAATTACACTCAAATGCCAATAAAGATAGCCCCACATATTAGTAAGTTTTTTTTTTTTTTTTTTTTTTACATTTCCTCCCCAGGGTTAAAGAATCAACTAATTGCTGGTGGTGTTAACCCAAGCTCCAGCATTCTAGGAATAACAGTTTCCATTTTCTAACCAAGTTACACTGTTTGGCAAAAGAATGAAGTAAAACAATCTTGTTTTCCTACTGAACGTAAAAGCCCCTTCTCCACAGCATTGTTTCCCAAATCTTCAACACTCTTTCACCTTCCTCTCTGGAGCCTAGGAAAGCAGCCCTTCCCAGCCTCTTTATGACCATCCCAACCTACTTTCATCTTCCCTCTTTTTAGGGGAACAGGCACAGCTTCAGTTTCCTACCTTGTAGTGATCTCTGAACCAAAGAAGTCCACACCTACTTATAAGTTTTTGAAACATCTCAAATAGCACATACTAATCAGCTCCAGAAAGACTGGTCCAGCCAGACATGAAACATCAGTTGTCATTTATAGTTACCTTGAGTCTCTGATTGAAAGCATCAAACAGTAGTTTGATCCCATCCTGAGTCAGGTTAAGAATGAGGTCATGGCTTAGAGGAGACTATAAAACAAAAATAAAACACATTCTGAGTAACTGATTTATTCACTAAGCACCTACTGAAAGCCTTACAATATAAGTGCAATGCATAGGGAATGTCCGAGTGCAGGCAGTCCCTCTCCTTCAGCTAATGATGCTTGGAAACCAGAAAAAAACTGCTGCATGAACACACGCTGTTTTTTGACTTCTAGCCTGCAGATGCTGTTTCTTAATATCCGCTGAAAAGAGCCTCTTCCTTCTGGGCTCTGAGTAAAAATACCTGGGGAAAGGGACAAAGTTACATGAGTATACAGCTCATTTTCCGTTGAGGCTCCATGGTTCACATCTACAGTATGAAGTTCACTGCTATCAAACCTACAGAGCAGTTGGTGAGGAATACAGGTCATGTGAAAAGGCCTAGTCCAGGATCTAAACTCAGAAGATACTACTTATGCCTATCAGCTGAACCTACATTCATTGACACCCAGGTTGTTCGTACCATCCACAGGGAACATATTTTTATTCCTTGATGGTTTTGATTAAATTCTAGGACAAAGAAATATATTGTGATCCGATTATGAGATGACCTCCTTACCCCTTTTCTCCCTCCCCTTGACGTACCATACCATTTCACATGTGCTCTTTCTAAAAAGCCTAAGTCTAAGATCTAAAGAGTCACATTTCTGCATTTGCCCCTTCTGAATCCTGGGGGAGCGGAGTAGAACAAAGCAGTGAACAGAACCCTTGTGACCTTAGGTGACTCTCAGAATTTCTCTGAGCTCTGGTTTCTTCATGGGAATACCTTCATCCCTTCCCTCCAAGGTTGTTCTGAGGACAGAGATAGTAGGTCAGAAAGCACCTAGCCCAGTACCTGCAACATAGCACTCTCCTCTTGTGTCTGCCCCATCTGCGTGCTTCTGGTCCAATGCAATTAATTCAAAGATTCAATGTCTCAAGATTCTCCACAGCCCTGACAGAGACTGCCCAGTAGTAGAAGGAAAAACACCATCTAAAACCCCACCCTTTCCCAGCAGGCGGATCATGAGGTCAAGAGATGGAGACCATCCTGGCCAACATGGTGAAACCCCGTTTCTACTAAAAATACAAAACTTAGCTGGGCGTGGTGGCACATGCCTGTAGCCTCAGCTACTCGGGAGTCTGAGGCAGGAGAATTGCCTGAACCCAGGAGGCAAAGATTGCAGTGAGCCAAGATCACGCCACTGTACTCCAGCCTGGTGCCTGGCAACGGAGCAAGACTCTGTCTAAGAAAAATAAAACATAAATAAATAAATAAACCCCACCCTTCTTTTAACTAGCACGTAGCTGCTCAAAATGTTTAGTTTCTTTATAAAGCTTCTCAAGTTAGACAAAGTAAATGATGGAGATATGGCTATCAGAGACAGAGACATGGGCTAGAAGGCCACAAGCGACTGCTGGTGTTGGCCTCATTGGGGAAATGCTCTCCAAAGAGTCTTTTGGGATTAGGGCAGGTTGATTCCTTCTGCCCCAATGATCCTCACAAGGCAGTAGGCCCAGGTAGTACCATCATGCTTGGCAAAAACGAAAGGAAGAATGTTACAATTTTCCAGTAGGTCTATATGAATGTCTAAATCATTAGGTCTCAAGCAAGATAATGGAACAGTGAACTCTGACCTTGGATTACCAATATCAACCCAGAACACAAAGTTCCATTTTGGAGAGAGCCATTCAATTCAATGGAAGTAAGCAGAGTGAAGCAACATTTTAGTCTCTTTCAGGAATCTTGCTTGGAGGAGGAATGTTGCAAGGATCTGGATTTTCCTATATTTTCCCAAGATCTGATTTTTTTTTTTTTTGCTGGCATTGTTATAATTCAGGATATAACATAGCAATTTTCAAAAGTAATCAGATCACTCTCAGAGTCAATGTATTAATACTTTATCTCTCTAAAACCAAAATACACATATACTATGTGGTATTTAAGCAGGTTCTTCCAGCAACCCAGCTATCCTCCATATGAAGCAGTTCAGTAAAACCATTTGATACTAGTTGTTAACATCTTTTCCCTCTAAGAAAGATGGGATGTACTTGACATGCATACTTGATATTTAATTTCCAAGGTGTGATTTGCATAGAGACAAAAAGTTATTTCTGAAATTTTCTGCATTTGGGAAACAAAGAGACAAATGAGTAAGGAAAGGAAGTAGGCAGAAGAAGAGGACAGGACCCACATTTAAGAAATATCACATTGGCTGGGCGCAGTGGCTCATGCCAGCACTTTGGGAGGCGATGGCAGGCAGAAAGCTTAGGGCCAAGAGTTTGAGAAGAGTCTGGGCAAATATAGTGAGACCCAGTCACTACAAAAGTTTTTTTTGTGTGTGACAAGTCTCACTCTGTCACCTAGGCTAGAGTGCAGTGGTGTGACTTTGGCTTACTGCAACCTCTGCCTCCCAGGTTCAAGTGATTCTCCTGCCCCAGCCTCCCGAGTAGTTGCGATTAGTACAGGTTGTTTCCTGTACTACAGGAATTACAGATGCACACCACCACACCCGGTTAACTTTTGTATTTTTAATAGAGAAGAAGTTTCACCATGTTGGCCAGGTCTTGAACTCCTGACTTGAAGTGATCCGCCTGCCTTGGCCTCTCAAAGTGCTGGGATTACAGGCGTGAGCCACCGCACCCGGCCAAAAATTTTTTTTTCTTAAATAGCCAGATGTGGTGGCACACACCTGTGGTCCCACTACTCAGGATGCTGAGGTGGGAAAATGGCTTGAACCCAAGAGTGGCAAAACTAAAGGAGGAATGTTGGGAGAGGCTGCAGAGAGCAATGATCACACTGCGGCACTCCAGTCTCGGTGACAGGAAGACGCTGTCTTAAAAAAAGAAAAAAAGAAGCATTACATCGGAGTTCTGAGAGACCGTCTCCTTTTGATCCTCAACCAAAGATTTATTCCAGGCAGGGTGTGGTGGCTCATGCTTGTAATCCCAGAACTTTGGGGGGCCGAGGCGGGCGTATCACTTGAGGCCAGAAGTTTGAGACCAGCTTGACCAATATGGTGAAACCCCATCTACATTAAAAATACAGAATTAGCTGAGCATGGTGGTGCATGCCTGGAATCCCAGCTATGTGGGAGGCTGAGGCAGGAGAATCGCTTAAACCCAGGAAGTGGAGGTTGCAGTGAGCCAAGGTTGTGCCACTGCACTCCAGCCTAGGCAACAAAGCAAGACTCTGTCTTAATTAAAAAAATAAAATAAAAAAGTTGTGCATGGTGGCTCACACCTGTAATCCCAGAACTTTGGGAGGCCGAGGTGGGTGGATCACCTGAGGTCAGGAGTTTGAGGCCAGCCTGGCCAACATGGTGAAACTCTGTCTCTACTAAAATAAAAAATTTGCCAGGCATGGTTGTGGGCGCCTGTAATCCCAACTACTTGGGAGGCTGAGACAGGAGAATCACTTGAACCCAGGAGGTAGAGATTGCAGTGAGCCAAGATCACGCCAGCACTCCAGCCTGGGTAACAGAATCAGACTCTGTCTCAAAAAAACAAAGAAACAAAACAAAAAAAGAAAAGAAAAAGTTCAAAGTCTGTTTTCAAATTTTAGGCACTCTCAAAATTTAAGATGTCTAAATCTGATTTAGCTGAATGTATATGTGGCTATAAGCTCAAAAAGTGTGTCATTTTCCCTGTTTTGATGGCTGCTACTTGTCATGAGGCAATTCCCTCGTGGTCTAATTAATGAAAGTCAGATTAGGTTACAGATGATCTGAGAGTAAAGAAGGAAAGATACTGCCCATCCTTCATTTTATTTTATTTATTTATTATTTATATTTTGAAAATTAGAGACAAGGTCCCACTATGTTGCCCAGCCTGATCTTGAACTCCTGGGCTCAAGTGATTCTTCCACCTTAGTCTCCCAAAGCACTACTCTTCACTTTATTTTTAATTTATTTATTTATTTTTTGAGACGGACTCTCACTCTGTTGCCAGGCTGGAGTGCAGTGGCGCAATCTTGGCTCACTGCAACATCCACCTCCCACGTTCAAGTGATTCTCTTGCCTCAGCCTTCTGAGTAGCTAAGACTATAGGTGCACAATACCATGCCCAGCTAATTTTTCTTTTTTTTTTTTTTTAGACAGTCTCACTCTGTTGCCAGACTGGAGTGCAATGGCCCTATCTCGGCTCACTGCAACCTACATCTCCCGAGTTCCAGCAATTCCCCTGCCTCAGCCTCCTGAGTAGCTGGGGCTACAGGCATGTGCCACCATGCCCAGCTAAATTTTGTACTTCGGGAGAGATGGGGTTTCACCATGTTGGCCAGGATGGTCTCGATCTGCTGACCTTGGGATTTGCCCACCTCGGCCTCCTAAAGTGTTGGGATTTCAGGCATGAGCCACTGTGCCTGACCAATTTTTGTATTTTTAGTAGAGACAAGGCTTCACCATGTTGGCCAGGATGGTCTCGATCTCTTGACCTCATGTTCCACCCAACTTAGCCTCCCAAAGTACTGGGATTACAGCATCCAGCCTACCCTTCATTTTGTAAATGTGAATCCAGACCAGGTGTGGTGGCTCATACCTGTAATCCCAGCACTTTGGGAGGCTGAGGTGGGAGGATCACTTGAGCCCAGGAGTTTGAGACCAACCTGGAAAACATAGTGAGACCCCATCTCTACAAAATATAAAAATAAATGGCTGGGCGCGGTGGCTCAAGCCTGTAATCCCAGCACTTTGGGAGGCCGAGGCGGGCGGATCACCAGGTCAAGAGATTGAGACCATCCTGGCCAACATGGTGAAACCCTGTCTCTACTAAAAATACAAAAATTAGCTGGGTGTGGTGGCGTGCACCTGTAGTCTCAGCTACTCAGGAGGCTGAGGCAGGAGAATTGCTTGAACCTGGGAGGCGGAGGTTGCAGTGAGCCGAGATTGTGCCACTGCACTCCAGCCTGGTTCCTGGTGACAGAGCAAGACTCTGTCTCAAAAAATAAATAAATAAATTAGCTAGGCATGGTGGCATGAACCTGTGGTCCAGCTACTCAGGAGGCTGAGGTGGGAGAATCGTTTGAACCCAGGAGATTGAGGCTGCAGTGAATTGTGATCGTGTCAATACACTCTAGTCTCGGTGACAAAGCAAGATGCTTGTCTCAAAAAAACCAAAATAAATTTTCTTTAAAGTTAAATTAGGCCTGGCACGGTGGCTCATGCCTATAATCCCAGCACTTTGGGAGGCCAAGGTGGGTGGATGACAAGGTCAAGAGATCTAGACCATCCTGGCCAATATGGTAAAACCCAGTCTCTACTAAAAAATACAAAAATTAGCTGGGCGTGGTGGTGTGTGCGCCTGTAGTCCCAGCTACTTGGGAGGCTGAGGCAGAATTGCTTGGACCTGTGAGGCAGAGGTTGCAGTGAGCCGAGATCACACCACTGCACTCCAGTGGCAACAGAGCAAAACTCTGTCTGGAAAAAAAAAAAAAAAGTTAATTTAATTTAATTAATGAGAATCCACTTTGGCAGTGAGAATCCACAGTGTTTCAAGAAACCCCTGCCCATTCCTACAAGTCTCCTGTTCTGTTATAGGCACCACATGAATACTCAAGCACTTGCTTGGAGACTAAGCATTTCTTCTTTCAGAAAGATCCCTCATATGGGGTCTCACTAGGCTAGAAGAGGGGTATTACAGGGCAGAATGTAATCTCTAGGTATTAGTAACAAGCCTAATTTTGACTCTGCCCCAAGCCAAACTGAGAAGTCTCTCAGAAATTTTGCCCACCTATAATTTATAATATTCTTCATGTCAGAAATAAGCTGTCATTTGCTTTAGGATCTGAAACTAATTGGAACAAATAGAACTGCAATAATCAAACTAGTACTCAAAGGATCTCAGAAAAGCCATTGGGGACATCTTTTAGCCTCTGTAGGCTCAAAACTATTCCCTGAGGCTTGTGGCACATAAGACACCTAAAAGGCGGTTCAACATGGCAGCACATGGTCTAGCCACAGAACTGCAGGTTTCAGAGAGTTCAATGGAGGGAAGATTGCTCTTTGAGAGTGATAAAGGGTATATATCTGTTCATTTCAAATCTGGTATGCTAGACTAGCTAGAGATCTGCACTTCAATAATCCTGAACACAAACTAACCAACAAAGCAGAAAAGACAATTTTAAACATCTTAAACATGTAAGCGGAAGACAAGCACCCTAAAAGACCAGAGACAGCCTCTGAAGCAACCTACCACTGAAAAGTCCCTGTTTAAGGGTCTGTAGGCAAGATGAGCACAGGCAAAACATAGGTTAAATTACTACTGCTCTTCCAAACCTACCTGCACTAGATTATCAAGAGCAAAAGTTTCAGAATCAGGGATAAGGTACCTGGATAACTGGTTGGTGCTAGAGATTCTCCCATTCCAACACAGCAATCCTTGCCAGTCAGCTATTCTCAAAGCATCAGCTCTGGAAGTGACTCACTGCTGAGGGACACTATTTTGTTTTTTTTGTTTTTTAGGCAGAATTTCACTCTTGTCACCCAGGCCAGAGAGCAACAGCACGATCTCAGCTCACTGCAACCTCTGCCTCCTGAGTTCAAGTGGTTCTCCTGCCTCAGCTTCCCAAGTAGCTGGGGTTACAGGCGTGCGCCACCATGCTCGGCTAATTCTGTATTTTTAGTAGAGATGAGGTTTCTTCATGTTGGTCAGGCCAATCTCGAACTCCTGACCTCAAGTGAGCCATCCACCTTGGCCTCCCAAAGTGCTGGGATTAAACACGTGAGCCACAGTGCTGAGCCAATGGATGCTATTTTTTTTTGAGACGGAGTTTCACTCGTTACCCAGGCTGGAGTGCAATGGCGCGATCTCAGCTCACCACAACCTCCACCTCCTGGGTCCTGCCTCAGCCTCCTGAGTAGCTGGGATTACAGGCACCTGCCACTATGCCCAGCTAATTTTTTGTGTGTATTTTTAGTAGAGACGGGGTTTCACCATGTTGACCAGGATGGTCTCGATCTCTTGACCTCGTGATCCACCCGCCTCGGCCTCCCAAAGTGCTGGGATTACAGGCTTGAGCCACCGCGCCCAGCTTGGATGCTATTTCAATAAACAAACCAGCCACCACTTACCTGTTCACTGTAGAGAACCTGGACATTTTTGATGATGCGACAGTGCTTCTGAAGAATGGCTACTGCCTGAGCCAGAGGCATTCCTGAAATAAAGCAAGACACCTCTGTGGTTATTGTGGCTATTCATTTATTGACATCTACCACTGTATTAGGCACTGGTCCCTATAGTAAAGACTGGGGATGGTTGGGGGCTACTAAGGTCTACAGATACATGAGTAAATAAGAGTTCAATAAACAGTAAGAGCTAGAAAAAAGTTAAGCAGCAAGCACTAAAAGCATACTTGGACTGTGCACAGGTGTACAACTCTTTGAATGCAAGCACTCTTTTGCTTATCTGTGGTGATGATGGCTATCACAAAAATCATGCATGGGACAGGCACGGTGGCTCATGCCCGTAATCCCAGCACTTTGGGAGGCCAAGGTGGGAGGATCACTTGCGGTCAGGCATTCAAGAACAGCCTAGCCAACATGGTGAAACCCTGAGTCTACTAAAAAAAAAGAAATACAAAAATTAGCCAGGCGAGGTGGCACACACTTGTAGTCCCAGCTTCCCGGGAGGTTGAGGCATTAGAATTGCTTGAGCTAGGGAAGTGGAGGTTTCAGTGAGCCAAGATCATGTCACGGTACTTAGCCTGGGCAACAGAGAGAACCTCTAAAAAAAAAAAAAAAATCATGCAGGGACCTTTCATTCATTTTTATTTTAAGCTCAGTAACTTATTTTTTTTTAAAGCTCATTAGTGTTAGTCTATTTTATGTGTGGCTCAAGACAATTCTTCTTCTTCTTCTTTTTCTTTTTTTTTGTTAATCAATGAGAGAGCTTCTTATGTTGCTCAGGTTGGCCTTGAACTCATAGCCTCGCCTCCTCAAGCACCAGGACAACTGGCCGGAGCCACCGTGGCTCTCTGACAATTATTCTAACGTGGCCCAGGGAAGCCAAAGGGTTGGACGTGCATGGAAGGGGAGCCAGTGAATATACATAAAAGCTTCCTGGAAATAGGGACCTCCACACTGATTTGAAGCAGACAAGGGCTCAGAGAAAGCAAAGTAAGTATGAACCAAAGAACCAAGTGAGAAAAGCACCGACTACATGACTCTGCAGACCCAGGTTTTTGTCCTCACTCTGCCACGGTTTAGGTATGACCTGAGATAGGTCCTCTCTCTTCCTTTCTGGCATCTGTCTCTACATATATGAAATGAAGTCCTGTTAGAGCACACGACTTGTAAGAAACTATTTTATTTTATTTTATATTTTTGAGATGGAGTCTTGCTTTGTCGCCAGGCTTAAGTGCAGTGGCATGATCTCAGCTCACTGCAATCTCTGCCTCCTGGGTTCAAGTGATTCTCCTGCCTCAGCATCCCAAGTAGCTGCGAATACAGGTGCCTGCCACGATGCCTGGCTAATTTTTGTATTTTTAGTAGAGACAGAATTTCACCATATGTTGGCCAGGATGGTCTCAATCTCTTGAATTCACAATCTGCCTGCCTGCCTCGGCCTCCCAAAGTGCTGGGATTACAGGCATGAGCCACCATGCCAAGCCAGGAACTATTTTAAAAGTTTAAAATCAGTACTGGGTATGGTGGTTCATGCCTGTAATCCCAATACTTTGGGAGGGAGGGCAGGAGGATCGTCTGAGGCCAGGAGTTCAAGACCAGCCTGGGAATACAGTAAGATCCTGTCTCTACAAAAAGTAAAAAAAAATAGCTAGGGCTGGATGGTGACTCATGCCTATAATCCCAGCATTCTGGGCTAAGGCAGATGGATCACGAGGTCAAAAGATGGAGACCATCCTGACCAACATGGTAAAACTATGTCTCTACTAAAAATGCAAAAATTAGCTGGGTGTGGTGGTGTGCGCCTATAGTGCCAGCTACTCAGGAGGCTGAGGAAGGAGAATCACCTGAACCCGGAAAATGGAGGTTGCAGTGAGCCAAGATCGAACCACTGCACTCCAGCTCCAGCCTGGCAACAGAACGAGACTCTGTCTCAAAAAAAAAGTTAGCTGGACATGGTGGTATATGCCGGTAGTCCTAGGTACTGGGATTGCTTTAGTCCAGGAGGTTGATCCTACAGTGAACCATGATAGTGCCACTGTGCTCCTCGCCTGGGTGACAGAGCAAGACCCTATCTAAAAAAAAAAAAAAAAAAAAAAAAAGCTTAAAATCACCGATCCACTACAATCAATGAATCAACTTATTTTATTTTAACCAAGGATTCACTGGATTTTTACTTAAAATCCCACAAATATTTAGTTCTTTTGATTTTTTTATTTAATTAAAAAAAATAGTGACAGAGGGCCAGGCACAGTGGCTCATGCCTGTAATCCCAGCACTTTGGGAAGCCCTGGCAGGTAGATTACCTGGGGTCAGGAATTTGAGTCCAGCCTGGCCAACATGGAGAAACCCTGTCTCTACTAAAAATACAAAAATTAGCCAAGCGTGGTGGCACATGTCTGTAGTCCCAGCTACTTGGAAGGCTGAGGCAGGAGAAATCACCTGAACCTGGGAGGCAGAGGCTGCCGTGAGCCAAGATCATGCCATTCCACTCCAGCCTGACTGACAGAGCAAGATTCCATCTCCAAAACAAAAACAAAAACAAAAACAAACAAACAAAAAAAACTGTAATGGGCTGGCTAGGTGTGGCGCGGTGGCTCACACCTGTAATCTCAGCACTTTTGGAGGCTGAGGTGGGTGGATCACTTGAGCTCAGGAGTTTGAGACCAGCCTGGGCCACATGGTGAAACCATGTTTCTACAAAAAATACAAAAAAAATTAGCCAGGCACGGTGGTGTGCACCTTAACTCCCAGCTCTCAGGAGGCTGGGGTGAAAGGATGGCTTGAGCCTGGGAGATGGAGGCTGCACTCCAGCCTGGGTGACAGAGCCAGGTGCTGTCTCAGCAGAAAAAAAAAGCGACAGGGAGAGGCATTCCTGAATATCTAACTCTTAACACTTGGTGTTTTAACTCATAGCCCATTATAAGCAGATTCACATATGCCCCTAGTTTAATCCAAATTCCAATGACATCTCCAGTATTCCAGGACTCACAGAGACCACCAAAAAGTTTGTTTCTAGAGTCCATTATAATTTAAACAAGAAGAAACATACACAGAGACATGTTCTGGGCAATCCAAAAACAAAGACTCATAGTTTAATGAATACAAAAACAGTGTGTCTGCTATTCACAACTCTCTGGATCCCTTTTACAGTGCTTAGAGCTAACCACCCAGTGACTGGTTTTGTTTTGTTTTGAGGCAGAATCTCACTTTCACCCAGGCTGGAGTGCAGTGGTGCAATCTTGGCTCACTGAAACTTCTGTCTCCCAGGCTCAAGATATCCTCCTATCTCAGTCTCCCAAGTAGTTTGGACTATAGGCACTCGCCCCCACAACTAGCTAATTTTTTAATTTTTGGTAGAGACAAGGTCTCACTGTGGTGCCCAGACTGGTCCTGAACTCCTGGGCTCCTGCAATCCTCCCACCTTCACTTTCTAAAGTGCTAGGATTACAGGTGTGAGCCACTGCATCTGGCCATCCAGTGACTGTTGAATAAATATTTACTCAGTGGGACTGATGGACTGTAGGGTGGGTGACAAGAGAAAGGAAGGAAAAGGGACCATCAATCACTTCATCCTATGACAGTCAGTTCACATTTATATCAGTTAATCTCCAGGTCAAAGAAATGAGATTTGCAAAAAAGAGCTTACAAATGAAGAATTAATTAGAAGGTTAAAAGCTCATGGCCCATTTACATTTAAATAAATAATCTGATTCTGCCATCATCTGAGGGGCCATTCTTCAGTTTGAAGAAAGCTCAAGGCAACTGCAAGGCTGACTTACAATCTTTAAAGAAGTACTTTTCACTTTGGGAAGCTGAGGTAGGTGGATCACCTGAGGTCAGGAGTTTGAGACTAGCTTGGCCAAAATGGTGAATCCCCATCTCTACTAAAAACAAACAAACAAAAACTACTTTTCATCCTTCCATAGTGTAAGACCTGGCACATAGTGGAGACTCAATAAATGTTTGTGGAGAATATGAACAAACTGATGCATCTCTCATCTTTGCCATTCCTGAAATGGAGGAGCATCTGTGCTGTGTTTCCCAGTGGGGATGAACAAACATCCATGTGGAGAAGACAGACAAGCTTAGTTAGATGTCAAGAAAGAGGAAGGCTGCCTGGCTTCTCTGATCCACATGGCACATGCCAGTTTCTTTCATTCTTTTTTTTGAGACAGAGTCTCAGCTCATGCCCAACTAACTTTTGTGATTTTAGTAGAGAAACAGGGTTTCACCATGTTGGCCAGGCTGGTCTCTCAAACTCCTGAGCCCACCTTGGCATCCCAAAGTGCTGGGATTACAGGAGTGAGCCACTGCACCCAGCCTCTTTTTCTTTTTTTCAAAGTGATGGGGTCTTGCTATGCCAGCCAGGCTGGTCTCAAACTCCTGAGCTCAAGCTATCCTCCTGCCTCAGCCTCCCAAAATGGTGGGATTATAGACATGGGCCAGCCCATGCCAGTTTCTTGAGGGAGGATTCCACTTAACCACATCAAAGGATGTCTTGGCATCTTAGGATCTTAGGATCCTGAGTCACCCAGGGAGAAACCCACCCAGAGGAAATAAAAGCAACCATGATGACTGGTCATCACACAGCTACTGGTAAAGGAAGGCTACGAAAGATCTCTAAAGGGAACTAACTACATGAATGGCAAAGAAAGAGGGGCACTATCCCAGCTCTAACAGAATGGTCAGCCTTCTAAATCGCACAAGTCTTTGTGTCACAGATCTCATCACTTGTCTGCTTATAACCTCCCAATGGCTTCCCATTGCAGGGGAATAAAACCCAAACATCATGTCATCACCAAAAGGCCCTGAATATTCTGGATCTTATCCATCTATATCTCCTTTCTACTGTTCACCATGCTTCCCCTTTGTTACTTGTACACATCAAGCTCTTTCTCTCCCCAGGCCTTTGTATTAGCTCTTGTTGCTGCTGGAATCTGGAATGTTTTTCCCAAAGCTGGCTTTTGTTCGCACTTTAGGTCTTGGTCACACCCCACTTCCCTGAATGCCTTATTCAATGAAGCCTCTCATACCATTTATTTATGTTAGCCTCCTTTATATCCTCAGAGAGGTAGAGTCTTGTCTGTCTTGTTCACCTCAATACTTCCCAGAACCCAATCACTGTATCTGGCAGAACTGTAGGTGGTCATGAACATCTAAGAAACAAAGCAATTAGCACACTTAGGTCATATACCACGAATCCTGTTGACCACCCTCCCTCTCCAGAACTCCTATTGTCTCTCTGCCAATACCACTCTCCTCTAACTTTTCCAAGTCTCTCCAATAGGCTATGTTTCTGCTGCTCATCCCTGGTTCAACTAACCACCCAGTTTCTGACTCACATCTCCATTTGTTTTCTGTCCAAAGGCAAATAAAAGTCAACAGATTAACAGTGATCTTTCCAACTTCTCTGCATTCTAGGTCTCATTATCTATGTCCAACATCTTACAGAGTTTCTCAAGTTAGAAACCTCTAGATTCCTCCTTCTTCTCCACCTCTTCAAATCCAGTTCTTCCCAAACCAATGCCCACAATACATTTCACTAATATGTATCCTCTTTTCCACAGATGTGCATAAATTCCAACACAAAGGCTCCTTGATAGTATCCCAGGCAGCTATAACCAAACAGAATTGGGACTATGGGAAATCCATTTTTTCTTCGACCAGTACAATATGCTCTAATTATAATACCAAATTGCTTATAGTTCCCTGCACACATCATCTATCTTTTCTACTGTGCTTCTTTTTTCTTCTTTCACTTGACTGGAAGATTTACAGCTCCTGTTTGTTGGTAGGAAGCCTTCTCTGAACCCCGGGGTTGGGTCAAGTCCCTTTCTCCCCTCCGCAGTACCCTATACATCAACTACTTGATTATAATAAAAGGAACTATTTCTATAATCCTTCTCTATCACTAGACTAAGCTCTTCAGGGAATAAGATCATTTTAAAAAGTTATTTATTTGTTATTTAAATAGAGACAGGGTCTCACTATGTTACCCAGGCTGGTCTCAAACTCTTGGCTCAAGTGATTCCCTGACCTCAGTCTTCCAAAGTGCTGGGATTACAAGCATGAGCCACTGTGCACTGTTTATTAGTTAATTATCAATGTTTGTGAACGGAGATCACAGAGGTAGATGATGCCTCCAACACAGTGAGCCTTCAGTCTCTGCGGAACAAGGTAATCTTGGAGAAGGTTACTTTCTCCACTGACCCTTTAAATCTACCTTTTTAAGTCCATTTCAAGACTAATTTCAAAAACAAATTCAGAGATTTGCCTCCACATCAATACATTCTGTAACTCTCATTGTAAACATTTCAGGGTCGGGCACGGAGGCCCACGCCTGTAACCCCAGTACTCTGGGAGGCTCAGGTGGGAGGATCACTTGAGGTTTGGAATTCTACTAAAAATAAAAAATTATCTGGTGGCGCATGCCTATAATCCCAGCTACTCAGGAGGCTAAGGCAGGGGAATCGCTTGAACCCAGGAGGCGGAGGTTGTAGTGAGCTGAGATGGCACCACTGCACTCCAGCCTGGGTGTGAGTGAGACTTTGTCAAAAAAAAAAAAACAAAACAAAACATTTCAAATCTGCACTGCCTTTACTTACTCCACCACTGGTCAAACCATCAGGGACATTCACAGAGATTCTGCTTGGCCTAGGTTTTCCTGTCCCTGTGTTGCTGGTATTTCCCTAATCGTCCAACATTATACCACCAGGAAGGATGCCAAGATGCAGTTCCCCATTGTGATGCCAGACAGATAATTGCATCTGCATTTGCACAGATTCCAATAAGAAACCTGGTGACAAAGTTGAGTCCACTCTCAGAAGTACAGACCAGTGGGAAGCAGGAAATGCCTGTCTGGCTACTTTTGTTTATCATCTCTCTCTTTGACAGGTGAGCCTGTCCCTCACCTGGCAAAAGGAGAAAACAACACCTAACTTACAGGCTTGTGGTGGCAAGAGGAAATATTGCCTGCTTCACTAGCCTACGCATGTAATTCTAAAGCAGATTCCCTTCCAAGACCTATCCCTACCTAATAGCCCCACATGTAGTTTGATGTATTCAGGGTTGGCAAGGAAATTGAAAGAGGTAGAAAATGGCTCTATTTTTAAAGTCTGGTGAAGTTGAATGACCACCATCTCTCAGGCAGACACCACGTAAAAATGAATTTTAAGACTCATGGGAATGATGAAGGCTCTGGCTCAGTCTATGAGCTTTCCCCTAAAATTATAGATTCTGGACCCAATATACAGAAATGCCCTTCTCACTCTTTTGGGTTGCTATTTAGACAGTTTGAAAGAACTATAGGCCGGGCGCGGTGGCTCACGCCTGTAATCCCAGCACTTTGGGAGGCCGAGGCTGGTGGATCACGAGTTCAAGAGATCGAGGCCATCCTGGTCAACATGGTGAAACCCCATCTCTACTAAAAATACAAAAAATTAGCTGGGCACGGTGGCACATGCCTGTAATCCCAGCTACTCAGGAGGCTGAGGCAGGAGAATTGCCTGAACCAAGGAGGCGGAGGTTGCGGTGAGCCGAGATCGCGCCATTGCACTCCAGCCTGGGTAACAAGAGCGAAACTCTGTCTCAAAAAAAAAAAAAAAGAACTATGTAAACCCTTAATTCCTGGGAAACTAGCAGAGTTAGAAGTCAGAGTTAGGGTGTCAAAACAACAGCTAAGAGAAGCCTTGCTCTCTCACTCAGTTTTCTGGAAACCCTGATCTCAATTAATATTCTAATAACTACTTTTGTCTTCTTGAGATAGGGTCTCTCTCTGTCACCCAGGATCATGCTCAGTGGTGTGATCACGACCCACAGCAGCCTTGACTTCCCAGCCTCAAGTGATCCTTCCATCTTAGCCTTTCAAGTAGCTCAGACTACAGGCCTGGCTAACTTAAAAAAAAATTTTTTTTTGTAGAAATGAGGTTTCACTTTGTTCCCTAGGCTGGTCTTGAACTCCTGACTTCAAGCTATCCTCTTGCCTCAGCCTCCCAAAGTGTTGGGACTACAGGCCTGAGTTACTGTGCCCAGTTCCTAGCCACTACTTTTGACCAAGGGACTCTGAATGTTTGTACCACCAAGAGATCCACAATCTAGTCACATTATCAAGCACAGTTTGAAGCTATGGCTGTGGCTGTTACCCAGCCCTGAGGACCTGGCTTGGGTAGCTGTCAAGGAGAGGAGAGGAAAGGAGTTAACTAGAAGCCAAACAGCATTAGCATGGTATCACTAGCCTCCCAACCAAGCTCTTAGGGCTTCATGAGAGAATGGAGCATTTTGTACCAGCTAACATTTTGGAAAGAACTCTGGAGGAGTGGTAAGTTATGAAAGAATCTGACCAAGACCCCTCAATTAAACCAGCTCTTGTGGTTGGGCACAGTAGCTCACACCTGTAATCCCAGCACTTTGGGAAGCCAAGGCGGCTGGATCACTTGAGGTGAGGAGTTCGAGACCAGCCTGGCCAACATGGTGAAACCCCATCTCTGCTAAAAATACAAAACAGCCAGGTGTGGTGGCGGGCACCAGTAACAACTACTCAGGAGGCTGAGGCAGGAGAATCACTTGAACCCAGGAGGCAGAGGTTGCAGTGAGCTGATATTGTGCCTCTGTCCTCCAGCCTGGGTGAGAGTGAGATTCTGTCTTAAAAGAAAACACCAACAATAAAAACTGGCTCTTGCAATACACAGGACATACGTAGCCACTAAGCACCAGCAAGGCCCTACCAGCAATCTGTACCACTTGGTTTCTCCAATACACTGTCTCCACAGACATGAGTCTTCCAGAGTCAAGGATAATCTATAACCCAATGGAGCAGCTGATTTAGTCCAGTAGCTCACACTAGAGTGACTAAAGTTCAGGCCTGCATAAATAAACAACACCAACACCTACCCCACCTCTTTTTCTTAGTGCTGGAATATCAAAGTAAACACACAGGTTACTAAATGCAAACATCCTTGTACACATAAAGGTAGTGATGTTGGGAATGGAGAGGGTGAAGGGAGAAAGCTGGGCCAATAAACCCCAAAATGACCAAATTGCCTTTTTTAGAACTCCCCACAACTCCTAATTCATCCAATCTTCACCTCTCACAACTGAGGTCTGAGTTTAGGGGTACAACATCTTAGACAGACTACATTTCAAAAGAGAGGGAAGTGGGGATCGGCTCAGTGGCTCATGCCTGTAATCCCAGCACTTTGGGAGGCCAGGGCGGGCGAATCACGAGGTCAGGAGTTCGAGACCAGCCAGCCTGGCCAACATGGTGAAACCCTGTCTCTACCAAAAATACAAAAACTAGCTGGGTGTGGTGGCGCGTGGCTGAGACAGGAGAATCGCTTGAACCCAGGAGGCCTAAGTTGCAGTGAGCAGAGATCGCGCTACTGCACTCCAGCCTGGGTGACAAAAGGAGACTTCATCTCAAAAAAAAAAAAAAAGAGGAAAGCAAATGGGATGTCCCTTTAGTACACACAAACTCAACTCCCTTGATCAGAGCTCCAACAACTGATTATGGGTTCCAAGCCTAAGTTTCCCCCACAAAAAAGGGGAAGGGAGCCACAGCCCAGAAATGCCATGGGAGACAGAACACAGGCCACAGTGGTGAGCAGAGGGGTCAGCCACTTCTCAGCCATTGTTTAGTCTGTAAAATGGAAATGGGAATAACAATAGTACATATCCTTAGGCGCCAGCGAGGGGTACTAGAGAGAATTACGTCTACAAAGAGCAGGGCCTGGGATTAAGCATTTGGGGCGAGCCAGCTATTATTGTCTTTACTACTGCTGTCCCACTGTCCCAGAAGGGTCCCTGCTGAGACACGAGACGAGCAACTGACAGTCAAATCGAGCCAGTCGGAGCGGGTATCTAGTGCCTGGAGCCCAGCGAGACGAGAGGACGAAAGAGGTGAGGAACTGCGGGCGCAGGGGCTTGAGAGACTGAGAAAAGAGGTCGTCAGAGCCCAGAAGAAAGCAAGGACCAGCGAATGGGGTCCTGATAGAGGACCTCAAACTCACCCAGTGTGAATTCCCATTGCTCGTTCCCCAAAGAGCGTTCAGGCACCACCTCCAGGTCCAGCATTGGTTCGGCTCGCCTGGCCCGGGCGGCCTCCCTGCGGCAGCGCAGACAGGACCGGAGCTGAGGAGACAAAGCAGCGGGTGACAGGCCGCCTCCGCAGGCCCGCCGCAGACCCGCTTTCCACCTCCTAACCGGGCGGCAGCGGCGGCGGTACCGGCCCAACACCACACCTCACCTCACCTCACTTCACTTCACCCGCGGCAGCCGCGGCGGTGGGGGCAGCGGCGGCGGCAGAAGCGACTGCAGCAAAAGTGGCGTGCCGAGCCGTAAAGCGCGGAGAGGGCGGGGCGAAAGCGGGAGAACCAACGCGGGGAGGAGTCTGAGGCGGAGCCGCGCACGCGCAAATCCGGGTCCGGCCGCCGTCGCCGCAGAGGCTGAGCCGGGCGGGGCTGTAATATTGGGAACGATCGGGGCTCTAGGAGCGAGAAGCCCAGTAGTTCGTGAGTCCCTACATCTGTGCGCTACAGCACACAACACTTCACATGTCTACACAAAGCAGGGTTCACCACGCAACACACACGTCACACAGCTGCACAACATCCGTCTGCTGTCTACACCCACGTCCACTCACAATTCACTGGTAGCAGAAGGCGAGTACAGAGGGCAAGTTGAGGCCCAGCAGGAGGGAGGACGCGGAGTCCCTGAGCCTCACGGCCCCCACCGTCTCCGTTGGGGCCGGAGGTGACGCCGGCCGCAGTAGCTTTTAGTTGTTCAGTAATGACGGCCCCACCCAATCGCCCCTGGGTAAGGGGTCAAATCGAAAGCGAGTGAGGACTGTAGGGGTTAGCGGTGGGAATTGGTTGGGGGGAGAGGACTGGGTTGAAGGGGAAGGGGTTGGGCCAGGCCTCCCTGCTGACCACATCCAAACGTGCGCAGCTCCCCGGGACCAGGATCCGAAGCCACCCGCGCAGTGTGTACTAAAGCTGTGGGGTCTTGACCAACCCCTTGGTCAAGAAAGGCCAAACCCTTGGCGCTTTCTGTGCCAGTTTTCCTAACCTGCAAGGGAAAGGAACGTTCCTCTAGCACGTTCAGCCTGAGGTTTTGGTCTGTGCCCCAGGACACCCTGAAACTAAAGGGCAGCCCAGGCCTCTGACGATGCCAAGCCTTCACGGAGGCAGCCAACCTGCGACGCGAGATTATACCCACTTTACTGGCGAATACATAAGGCCCAGAGAGGTTAAAGACCCAAGGCTTCTTGGTTTTAGCGGGCAGAACCTAAGTTCTTTTCATTACATTGCCCCTTGAAGAAGGTTTTCAGCAGGGGAGAGAGTGGCATGCTAAATTCTCAAACTGGCTTGATACTAGTGTAACTTGGGAGGCTCTATCAAAAGTTGAAGTCACTGTTTGATTAAAATAAAACATGGAGAAGGTTGTCCACTGCAGCATTGTCTGCCAAAACAACAGAACTGGGTCATTGAGATGTCCAGTAGGGAAGTGGCTATATAAACCCTGGTATGTATAATTAGATACGCTTTTAAAGGTGAACACTGGAAGCAGTGCGCACAGCTATAATCCCAGCACTTTGGCAGGCTAAGATGGGAGAACAGTTGAGCCCAGGAGTTGAGACCAGCCTGGGCAACATAGCAAGACCTGCTCTATTAAAAAAAAAAGCTGGTGTGGTGGCAGTAGGTTGGGCCGGTAGTCCTAGCAACCCAGGAGGCTGACAGGTGGGAGGATAGCCTGAGGATAGCAGCAGTGAATTGTGATTATTGAGCCCCAGGGCCCAGGGCTCCAGCCTGGATGATAGAGCGAGATCCTGTCTCTAAATAAATAATAAAAAGTGAAGTAGGTCCCTATGTTGATGTAGAAGGAACTCCAAGACAAAAAAGCCAGATGCGGAAGTATGCATACTATGACCCTCCCCGCCACCTTTTTTCTGCTGTAAAGCAAAATGAAAGAAACACTAGCTGTACCAAAAAGGAAGAACATTTCTGGAAAAAATAAAACATTGTCAATAATACCTAATAGAGCCGGGCACGGTGGCTCACGCCTATAATCCCAGCACTTTGGGAGGCCGAGGCGGGTAGATCACGAGGTCAAGAAATCGAGACCATCCTGGTCAACAAGGTGAAACCCCGTCTCTACTAAAAATACAAAAATTAGCTGGGCATGGTGGCGCCCATCTGTAGTCCCAGCTACTTGGGAGGCTGAGGCAGGAGAATTGCTTGAACCCAGGATGCGGAGGTTGCGGTGAGCCGAAATCACGCCATTGCAATCCGGCTTGGGTAACAAAAGCAAAACTCCATCTCAAAAAAAAAATAATAATAATGATAATATTTAATAGAGTGGCAGAGGACAGGAATCAGGGCATCATTATTCCTTACCACGGCAAGCATTAAAGATGTGTTTAGAGAAGGCTAGTTGGGCAGGTGGGCTAGATAGCTTGGGAAGGAAATCTGGGGAGTAATCTTAGATTGGTGAGGCGCAGTCTTAGTCAATTAAGTGTCTGGCTGGACATGGTAGCTCAAGCTTGTAATCCCAACACTTTGGGATGGTGAGGCGGGCAGATCACCTGAGGTCAGAAGTTTGAGACCACCCTGGTCAACATAGTGAAACCCTGTGTCTACTAAAAATACAAAAATTAGCTAGGTGTGGTGGTGCATGCCTGTAGTACCCAGCTACTCAGGAGACTGAAGTGCAAGAATTGCTTGAATCCTGGACATATAGGTTGCAGTGAGCCAGTATCACCCCACTGCACGCCAGCCTCAGCAACAGAGCAAGACTCTCTCAAAACTTGGAGGGGACTTATTTCTGGTGGAGAAAGGGGTATGAAGCCTAAATAGGGGTGGGATAAACCCAGTGGGGTTCTGGGAGAGGCAAGACAAAGAATAAACCATGTAATTCTGGGTAACAAAGTGAAAAGGATTTCTAATTTGAAGAACCCCCAAAACAGGAAGAACAAGGTTGTGGGAGAGAACCCTAAGCAATTTCCTGTTGGAATACTAGGCAGATAGGTTTCTGTGAACAGTGTCAGTCAACGAGTTTATCTGACCAGATGTCATGACTCATTCCTATAATCCCAGCACTTTGGGAGGCTGTGGGAGGATTGCTTGAGGCCAGAAGCTTGAAACCAGTCTGGGCAATATAGCAAGACCCCATTTACACACACACACACATACACACACACACAATTAGCCAGGTGTGGTGGCTCACACATGTAGTCCCAGCTACTCAGGAGGCTGAGGTGGGAGGATCACTTGAGCCTGGGAGTTTGAGGCTGCAGTGAGCTATGTTTGTGCCGCTGCACTCCAGCCTGGGTAACAGAATGAGATGCCATCTCTAAAAAATAAAAAACAAAAGTTTATCTTTGCTCATTTAACGTTGATCCACCCAAGTTTTTATCCGAGGTGGGAGTAACAGCTTTGGGATGGTGATATTAGGAGGCCTTGGCCCAGAGACCAATACATAAGAGTAGAAGCAGAAGGTGCCTCGGGACAGCAGGCCAACTCAGGAGAATGTCAGCAACAGCCACTCCCCAAACAGAGGGTGGGGTGTTCAGCTATATGAACTAATGAAGAGTATATTCAGGGAGGACAGGTAGTCATGGTAGCAGTCAAAGCCAGACATGCAGGGACAGCTTCGGGTCAAAGCACGGTGGTTAAGCTCTGGGACTGAGAATTTGAATCCCAACTCTGCCATTTAATAGCTTTGTGCCTTGACAAGTTAATTAGCCTCTCCATGCCTTAGTTTCTCCTGTAAAATGATCATGCCTACCTCACAGATTTGTTAGGAGGTCTGTACTTGTGTGTCTGGCTTAGTGGTATATGCTTTGTGTATAACTAAAATTTTAAAAAATCTAATAGTAACAAAGAATTGATGGAATCCACTGGCAGGATTTAAGATTGGATGTGGGAGATGAAAGAGACTGGGAGTCAAGAATAAAAACAGTTTTTCCAGCTTGGGTAGCAAGAAGGATAGTGATTCAGGGAACTGACATTGGCATTTAGAAGGATGTCAATCCTTCTGGTAAAACTGTCACATATGATAACTTGGAAGGGAAGAAATGTAACAAGCTTAAAACTCCACATGGGTTTCAAGAACTTGGAAAACAATCTTAATACCATGGTTGTTATTAATTCCATTTGGCATTTTTTTTTCTTTTTATTTGAGATGGAGTCTCACTCTGTCACCCAGACTAGAATGTAGTGCCTTGATCTTGGCTCACTGCAACCTCTGTCTCCTGGGTTCAAGCGACTCTCCTGCCTCAGCCTCCCCAGTAGTTAGGATTACTGGCACGTGCCACCACACCAGGCTAATTTTTGTATTTTTAGTAAAGACAAGGTTTCACCATGCTGGCCAGGCTAGTCTTGGACTCCTGACCTCAGGCGATTCACCTGCTTCGGCCTTGTAAAGTGCTGGGATTACAGGCATGAGCCACCATGCCCAGCCAGATTTTTTTTTTTAAAGCCAGTTTGAAAGCTGGAATGACAGGTAATGTATACCGCAAATGAGGGATGGGGTAAAAGTCATGGAAAATGGTGGAGCGGGGAATCCATCCCAATAGGCCTCACAAAGAACACTCTCCTCTGTTAGGGCAGAGGTCCTTCAAATGGTCTCCAGTGTAATGTCATAATTGTTACTGACCAGTGACTTCATTCTTCCCCTTTCTAAAGGCAAATGTTTCCTGCAATTTTCTTATTCCTGTCCCACCATTATGTACTGGGTGTGTAGATCCTGGTCTCCACATACAATTTTAAGCTCAATACCCGACCAGCAGGCACTTTTAGGTTTTCTCCCATAAGTATGTTTTCTTGAAGGAAGGACAGTAAAATAATTCAGAGTGGCTTGTGGTAGTCATTAGAGCTATTCACACATATTCTGTCTCCTGGGCAAAAAGTTGCATTGTAGTTCCCTGCCCAACTGAAGTTGGGTGTGGCTGTGACTTGCTTGCTCCATTGACAGCATAAGTCATGTGTATCAATTTCTTTTTTTTTTTCTTGAGACAGAGTTTCGCTCGTTACCCAGGCTGGAGTGCAATGCTCGATCTCGGCTCACCGCAACCTCTGCCTCCTGGGTTCAATCAATTCTCCTGCCTCAGCCTCCTGAGTAGCTGGGACTACAGGCGTGCGCCACCATGCCCAGCTAATTTTTGTATTTTTAGTAGAGACGGGGTTTCACCATGTTGACCAGGATGGTCTCGATCTCTTGACCTCGTGATCCACCTGCCTCGGCCTCCCAAAGTGCTGGGATTATAGGCGTGAGCCACCACGCCTGGCCTACATGTATCAATTTCAGGTGAGTTTTCAAAGCCAATGCTTGTTTCATTACCTGTTTTCATTCTTGGTTCTGTCACAGTGGCTGGCAATGTTCCAGTTCTACTTTTTCAGCCTAGGTCAACCACTGATGAATATTTAGGATGTAAGACAAAAATCTTTACGCCAATACTTTTTTTTCTTTTTTTGAGATGGAGTCTTGCTCTGTCACCCAAGCTGGAGTACAGTGGCATGATCTCGGCTCACTG